TTTGATCTGTACTGTGGATATGAGTTGGAGCCTGCCATGCTGAATGCTACTTGAAGCTAAGAAAAACCTTGTTTGAAGAGTAACACTAACGATCAAAAAGTGTGAGCTTACTTTTGGGACATCCTGTATACCAGCATCTCCACCAGAGGATTACCCAGCTGGATTCTTGCGCAACAAAAACTGTTCTTCTATAACAACTTTGCTCTTCTTGGACAAAAATTCTCTAGTGCAGCGACCTTACGCTTACCCACCGCGCTTTCGTCGCACTTCCCCATCGAAATAGAGGGAGTAAGATCCCCACCGTTCGGAAGCTTGCCTCTCTGAAGACGGCAATTTTGATGCGATCCGTAGTCGTGTAGGTGATGCCTTATGTAGAAGATCCGTTTTAAAGTTGCTGACGTCTTCGCGGTCCAAATCTTATATATAAAGCTGAATGTCTGTCTGTATGTATGTCTGTATGTCTGTCTGTACGTATGTGCGGAATAGAAATTTTTATTTCTGAACCGATTTGGACCAAACTTGGCACACATATACTTCGGGGCAGGGAGCGTGTCATAGGCTACTTTTCGTTATCGATCGATATCGATTTTATCGATTTTTTGCAAAATTTGAGCTACGGGGCTGGGAGTTGGCACAGGGGGGTAATCGAGCATGCTGATTACGAATATAATAATGACAGGGCCAGGCGGAGCCGGGTTTGCCAGCTAGTAGTAACTATATGTGAGTAGATCAGACTAATTGAAGAGTACCTTTGGAAAAATCTCATATCCAGCGGAACAACATTAATCTCTATGGTGAGCAAAGGCTGTGGAGGGACTTGAAAGATCTCCAAAGGTGATCGAGCTAGATGGAGCACTCTGAGCACGGGTGTATGTCAAGAGGCGCGGTTTTTGTTGTCAGATGGACCCCAAAAAAGCACATAATAAGTGCTTTATAACATTCTAAAAGTATTCAAATTTTAGATGGGGATATATTCAGGAGTTGCATGGGTTGCTCAATCTTGCTACCATGGAATCAAGCCAAAAGAGCAATTTTGAAGGTCAAAAACCTATGAAAATGCAGCTAAGAACAGATTCGTAAACATTGCGGTCCGTTCTCCAGCAAAAGTCTCCAAGCTCGGCAAGTGGTAACCTCAGACGGACAGTAATCCAGTGCACTTTATGTGATATATTTGGAGACTCGCATAGCACGAAATTAGAGTTTTGAATTGGCGACGGCCGGAGAAATCGCGCTTCTTGACCGTCTCCCCTTGAGCACAGGTTGTATAATAAAGTCGCTCAACTGTGTATTAACAGGTCGGACTGCGTTATTGCGCGGCAATGGCATGGTGTACATGTGTAGCACAAGGGACGTTGAGGACCGACTGTTTTTCGTTGCATAATTTCAAGCTACATGAAATCCTTGCGCTGAGTGTTGGTTTCGCACTTGTCTTATGCGTACTTCCACATTTTTCATCATTTGATTTCATGTTCCTATATTTTGCAACAAAAATGAAAGCTATTTGGCTATCCCAAAATTGAACCTCGAATTTTCGAAGTCGTGGATTTTTTTCAAACTCGGTTTATGGGGGTTATCTGACACGATAATCACGAATATCGCACCTCTCTGGCACAAAACGCCTTTCTGCATTTTATGGGAGGGTATCTAGTGGACTAGTAAATCTCAGATTTGCTCGTTCTGACTTCGTTTTGAGGGATTTCCCAGCATCATGATCACAGTTACGATCTCGTTGAGATTGGAAAGCCTTTTTGCGCGACTCAGGTAGGTGAGGCACTATAGTTTTGCCAGATTTGAGTTTTGATCCGATCCGTCGACCATGTACCCGCTGTAATGCCAGGAAATCTTGCTTGCTTGCAAAATCAATATGGTATTCGTGACCAGCGTGCTAACTCAGACAACCGACCGGAACTTCCGCAGCGCTTTCGCAGGATTTCCGCAGGTGACCCGGCGGAAATCCTGCGAAAGCGCTGCGCAAATCTTGCAGTCTCAGAGTACAGGGTTTCCGCAGTACTTTATTTGGAGTTCCGCAGCACTTTGCGGTTTTCACATTTGATTCGCGATCCGTTTCTTCCATATTAAGCATCCTTTTACGTTTTCCTTTCCAATACTAGGTTTTCGCTTTATACTAAGGCATTGTTCCTTTGCTGTGGAAATCTCTAGACTTTCTGGATGCTAAATTAGACAGCGAGATAGTTTTAGTGAGAAAGCAAATGGCACAGTGTATTGTTTTATGCAGGTACCATATAGAATCACAATAAGCCGAAGTTTATAATCGCACATTAAAAGATCAATGAAGTGTTCATAAATAAATGTACATAAAATCACAGAAGCATTCGAGTATATATGCATAACCGAATAAGCTTGGAAAAAATCGGCAGATATCAAGAATTGAAAAGCAATGTTATACTGATGGAAGAGTAAAGAATAAGATAAGAAGAATAAGATTAAAACAAGATTAACAATCTCATTCACAAAGGATGATATGCGCTTCAAAGAGAAGATGGTCCTGTGGAGAAATAAACCGTTTCCACTTATCGGGTGTCATTTTGACCTTGTCTGCGCCACTGAAGCCGGCTTCGGCTTCCCTTCCTTTCTGTAATGAGAACTGATTAAAATTTCTTGATGTAAATCGTGCCTTGCCGCAAGTGTTCCACTTTGCAACTTCTTCGCCAAGAAATACGGAGCAAATATGGACGATTCATTTGAAATTTTCGGAAATTTCCAAATCTCAACCAGAGAAGCTCTCAAACAGATTTGAAAGTTACAAGAGTTTTCTGCAAAAATCAAGGCTTTACTTCGACTTGTATTTTTTTGGAATTTTCAAATTTGTAGCGACAGAACTTTTGTTTCAATCTAATCAAGCACTTTCCACACAAAACAGGTGCGTCAGACTCTAAGGCGGTATGTGTAAGTGAAAGTTATTATAAATTATTGTTGAATTTTCATAAATTAATACTTAAAAATAATACTAATGAACCAAAAGCTCGTCTCCATCCTTCTCAAAAATTCGAAACTTTCTTCCTTCACATCCGATCTGCACATGTTTGTTTTGAAAGAAGACATGCTTTCTAATGGTACCTGAGGCACTTTTTGATAGCTCCAGAGACCGAAGTCGGTGAAGAAAGTTACTCCATTTTAATATTCTCCACATTGGTTCGCAAAAATCTGCTTGCAGAAAATCGGAGCAATCGGTATCATAGCTACTATCACCTACTCTTTTTGAGTGTACAAAGATTGCGCTGATTGAACGTCTCTTAATAAGTTATGATTTTTGAGGAAGCCGTAATAAAGAATAAATATGATTTTTTGGCATTTGCTTCGAAGATCATAACTTTTCATAAAGAGATTCAATCAGCGCAAATTTGGCACAGTCAGTAGCAGGCTATAAAACCTATAATGCTCCGATTTCCGTCGCGAGTTTCAGTTTTGCGATCAAACGCAGAAATTTTGAGAATGTGGTAATTTTCTTCTCTTGCTTCTATTTCCACTTATATACTTAAATACTTTCAAAATTTTTTGGTGACCCTGCTTGAAAAATGCCAATTTTGAGTGATTTTCTTCAGTTGCTTCTAACTTTCAAACTTTTTAATGCCAATCCTTGGCAAAAGTACTGCTGTTGAGAGAATGATTTCCCTCTTAGATGAATAATGCAAAGAGATTCATCAAGTCGAAAAGAAGTTATGATTTTTTGAAGAACTGGCGAACGTACTTTTGGTCCCACCTAATTTGAATCTGAAAATTTTTGAAAGTATTTCAGTATTCACCAAGAGCTTGTAGATCACTTTGAAATTTCGGTGACCCATTTCCCCCCCTCCCCCCTTGTTTTGATGTATTTCTATATCCAGTGCATATTTTCTACAATGTAATATTTAAATTACTTGCATAATTATTCTAATCAAAGCCATAAAGCAAAGAAGTTTGACATACATGAACAAGGGGTTGTGCTTAGACGAAGTCCCTCCGTTGAGTTCTTTTCCAGCACTCCAGCAGCTTGGTGATGGTTGTTCACACACCTGCACCGATGCCTGGAAGAATAGTTAGAATATGGATAGTATAGGTTTACTTACGCCAACATTGAAGAAAGATTGGAGGATGAACAGAAGCGAAACAGCATGGAAGAAAAGAGTACTCTATGCGCGGTTGATGTTGCGTTCGCTATTTCGCAATCGCGAATGCATGCGCTTTCAAAGTCCTGCGGAAGTACTGGCAGGTCAAAGTGCTGCGGAAACCTTACGAGCCTCACTGCACTTTCGCAGTGCTTTATGGAAAGTGCTGCGGAAGTTCCGGTTCACGATTGTCGTGACGTCAATTTCCTGCGGAAACCTCGCATTTTGGAGCGTACACTTTCCCAATGGTTAAGAAAGTGCTGCGGAAACGCTGTGAGTTGTGCTTATCCTGCGGAAGTTCCGGTGAATTGTGTCTGAAAAAAGATTCCAATGAACGAAAGGTAGTCAGAGCTATGATTTTGACACCCGTGCCGTGTACATCTTTACCACAACTATACAGGGAGAGTTTTCCTTTTTCAGACGGGAAGGTTTGCTTCCCAGTTAGGCTTTGTTTTATCCTTTGTCCATAACGAGCGTAATATCTTTATCTAATGCGATTCTCCCAGCTTAAAAACGAATTGCGCGAAAGTTTTGTCTCACGCGACGTTCGCAACGCCGCGCTGATTTGCAAAAATTTATTCTCTGCCAATCTTGTGCCCGAATAAGTTAAGCTGGGGCAGACCAGAAAAGTATGTTGGACAGTAGACTCGTACCTTTACGATGGCATTCTTACACTGGGAAAAGATCGATTGTAGAAAGCGGGGGGCAGTTGCAAAACTCGGTAATGCGCCATGTGCAGCACCGATCCAGTGTCAAAACATCGAGCAAGAATTAGAAAGTAAGCTGGAGGGACTGTACTTTCCTGCATATCAGCCTCAGAAACCGTCATTAGTGGAAATTAGTGCTTTTGAGCAGTTTCTGTTGTTAAGGTGTTTCTTATCCGACTTATTGCAGCTTTCCGCGAAACAGAAAGGGAAGTTGAAAGAAAGATCACAGTCGAAACAGTCGCAGATGCAGAGTCAAGGCCAGTCTAAGGGAAATGAAGTGGTAAGAAGCCAAAACTTAGAAAAACAATTTTAGTAGGTGACAATCCCCGTTCCGAAGAACCCACAGGCCAGCTTTCTGAAACGGTGATTGGATGGGCGCGCACGGATGGGCGGCGGATGGGAGGGCAATGCCGTCTGGGGGTCCTCGTGCATCTTCGTTATTCTGAAGCAAATTTCTCGCTTCCGAATTTTGCGCCATAACTTGGGCACTGGCTTGATAGGGGGCCCTAATATCATATGCTGCCAAAAACTCAAGCCCTTAACTTAGAGTGGACGCTGCCTTTAAAGGCAGTGTCCCGGCAGATTCGGGTCCTGGGGGATATACGTGTGGTGGGGTTCCTGGTCACCCCATCGACCTCCAGGCGCACTCCGGCTGGATGATGTTCCCCCTGGGCCGAGAAAATGGCCCTTGAACCGGCGCGCGCAACCCCAACTGGCGCGCGCTTGGACGGCCTTCCCCGAATGTTCGGCGCGGGACCCCACGAGCGCTCTCCCCCATGATGCATGCCATCCAAAGCAAATATTACAGGCGGCAGGATCTTCGTCTAAGGACCTCCCCCAACTTCCCATTAAAAATCTCGTCCAAGCTGCTTTTCTGGAATTGGGAAAACGCCCCAAAATCGGCCTTTCCAGCCCGTTCAAAGCTCAAATTCGGATTCTACGTGGCGAAAAGGCCTAAAACATGCAAAAAGGTGGAGGTGCAAAATCTGCCGGGACACTGCCTTCAAGCTGGCAAAAGGACTGTCGCAACACCTTGATCGATCCGGAGTTGGAAGTTGAAATCAAGCAAGTTCTCCAGAAATGTGACCTCCAGCTTGTTCAAGCATATGCTCTCTACATAGACATTCCTATACATGGTTACTGTACTTTTCCCATTTCAGGAAAACGAAAAGGGGATTTTTATGCCGTTGCAAAGCAATACTGAGCTTTCCCATCTATACTATTGACCTCTGCAAGCACACTTGGAAATTTGGAAAGGAAACCTAGTTTTGGTATTTGCTGAAAACTAGTATTCGTGGAAGGCTGAAAATCTGTGGTAATGCTTTCTAAAGTTAATAGTGTAGATTTACTTGTGTGGAACAGCTCAGCATTGCTTCGACAAAACGAAATTTTCTTTTTTCGACTCTCGGAGGTGAAAATGGCAGCATTATGCATAAGAATGTCCGACGTGGAGGGTATAAGGGGTGTTTCAAAAAGATGTACCCTATTTTTAGGTGTATAAACCGCACCCTTTTTGCTCTGAACGCGAGCAGACCCAAACGTGCCGCCGCGCATATGTCTCGCGAAGCGGTCGCCTTATCGCATACTGCCAGGGCCCGGCACAGATCGTCCGGAAGCAGGCTGGACTTCGTTTTTGAAGAAAAAAAAGCAAAGGAGATATTTTGACGAGTCGAGGCCGAGAACTAAGAATAAGCGCCATTTAGTCAAACACGAGCTTTTCGAGCAGGTTGTCGCACGATTGACATGCTCAATCGTGTATGGCGAAAAGTGCGCCCGATTTGAAAGCAAGGCTAAAATAAACAAATTGCTTGTTTACAGCGCACACGGACACACCAAAATTGAACTGCATAAATAGACAATTATTTAGAAAAGAATTATTTAAAAAGATTTGATTACCTTTTCCAAAATTAGTCCGTCTCCAGACGGTCACCAGACGATCTGAGATCGTCTGGAGCATATATTTCGGTCATTTCACATAAGTTTCGGATTTTCCTATTATGGACGGATTCCCCGGTCAAAAATCTATCCCTGGGCTCAGAGACATTTTCATATCATTGCTTTTCCTTTATTTTCTGCCTTCATCTTTTCATAAATCATTCTGTCAAAAATCGCGCTCCAATGCCAAACTCTTGTGCATGGGTAATATTTAGCTTCAATTTGGATTTTCACTCTTATCTTACGTTTTTTCTTTCAGATTAGTAAATCTTTCTTGTTTTCAACTTCTCCCATGCCGGTAGGTCAAAGGGGACTTCGTAAAACTTCCGAAATTCAGGGGAGACTTCGTTTTCGGAAACCTTAGAAACCGACTCGTGCCAGGTCCTGCATACTGCTCTCACTTAACGCGCTCCATGATGACAGTCAGTCTTTTGGCGTCTTCGCCTTTAGAGCGAAAAGGATGCGGCTTATACACCTGAAAATAGGGTAATCAACGTTTGGTCGTGAAATTTTCCTTGCTAGAAATTTCGAGAAGCTTCAAGTACCGTTTTGTAGAGCGCCTCCACCTTAGATTCACAGTATGAAGCAAATCATCCTGTGCCCTTTATCACCGTTAGATTAGGTAGACCTTTGAAAAGGGTTTTGGGCCATGAAAAGCCACTTTTTACCCCAAAAAGAAAACAAAATGAGATGAAAACTTTCACACTAGGCTAATTAGGTTTGCAAACTTCAAATACTAGGTTTGTATCTTACCACGTCTTTTTGATGTTCCCAAAAAATGCGTTTGTACCTTTGGAAAGCTTCACAATCTTCTACAAAGTTGAGAATTTAACTCAGCGTCCATTGAAACCCCATTAAGCAAATTTTTAGATTTTTTTTCAAGATTATTTGAAACGGTGCTTTTCCCACAGTAACGTCATATGCCGGAAGTTCCTTCCCTAATCTACAGTGATGAAGAGCAGTGAGTGGTTCGCTCAAAAATGTCAATCTTGAAGGGCAATCAGTGATTCGCTCCTGTTAGTCCACATTGAAGCCAGCTTTACAAAATGGTATCTAAAGTTTTGCGAGAGATTTCATGAAAAGGAAGTTACTAACGATCAAACGTTCGATGAAACTTTCGATAAATGCGACACCACACGATAGCACAAAATGTGACATTCTTTTCTTTGCAGTCCAATCCGGCATGTGGTGTCACTGTAACAGTGCCGTTTCATCAAATTCAAGAAAAAATCCAAAAACTTGTGTAATGGGGTTTTCATGAACGCTGAGTTTATACTTATCTTTGTAGAACTTTGTGAAGCTTCCTATGGTGTAACTTAGTGGTCCTCACCCCCACTGGCGCTTGGTGGACGAATTTGGATATGAACTGGTGCGGGATGGCTGTGGTAGAGCGCGGATCCTCAGCCCTCAACCTCAATCTTGTGCACTTTTTCTGTTTATCTTCGTTTTGACTGATATTTTTGTGTTTCCATCGTTCGTGTCAAAGTTGACGACTTTTTTGTTGTTGAGCAATTTTCCATAAGCTGTGCTCGTTTTTTTTAAGTCTGAGTACAGGTAAACTTGGCGAAACGACAAACAGAGGCTCTTACTCGTATATTCCTTTATAGTAACATTTGCTTGAATGTTGGCAGTGAATTCACATCACATAATACCCATATGCACTATTTTTCCAAGCTAGTCGAATCAGAGTTGAAAAATGAGCATAGCAGCATAAGAAATCGTTCAACAACAGTGAACCGTCAACTTTAGTCACAAACATTAGTGAAACACAAAGACAGCAGTTAACGACGTGAACAGATAGCAGACAGGATTGAACTAGGGGCTAAGGGTGCCGCGCTCTACCGCATCGGCCTGTCCCAGTTCAAATTCGAACTCATCCACCAAGCGACTAATGGAAGGACGACCATACATTATTTAGGAGTAGCCTAATGTAAATTCAAGTCGTTCTGTTCCCTTTCTTTTTAAGCCATTCTGTTCCCCTGAGGGGAATTATGGTCCTACATGCCTCAAAACTCTCTTCAAACCTACCGTAGTCCTACACTAATGAAGAGCGACTGGTGATTGCTCCGCAGCCGGGTTTGCCAGCTAGTATAAAACGGAAGGAAGGTAGTGGTTTGCAAAACAATTTGATACAGGTAGAAAAATGGGTGATGCGAGCCTTGGATATGGGAGTGGATGCGCTACGAGCTGAATACAGATCTCTAGCCAGATACACATTGCCGTCGGTGACGTACCAAGCTTTCGTAACAAATCATCCTGCTGGTAGAAATAGGTCAGCGATAGTTTTCCTTCAAAAGTGCAACAAAGGGAAGCATTGCCATAAAAAATTCTCAAACCAGGTACCAAGACGTTCCTTGTCAAGATCAACACCGCGTTGTAATAAACTGGCCAGGAGCTCCTTCTGATTATATCCACGCAAATTATGTTGGAACTCCAAAATCAGAAAAGAGATTTATCTGCACACAAGTATGTTTGTTCTCTATTCTTAGATAGATTTCGTTAGCAACTCAACGTTCTCCCCAACATCTCAATGTTGTCTTCCGTTAGATAACTCTTTAGTGTAATGTGCCAAACAAGGTAACAGAACACTATAAAATAAAGATAAGACTACTTTGTTTTCGTACTGTTGAGGCTCTTGGGTGAAACCAAATATAGTTCATCTATAGTCTGCCTCAATCGGGGTCAGGCCGAACCGTCGGCTGAATTTGCGCGCTCGCAGCGCTAGGGTATTGCGCTGCATACGCGCGCTGTCGCAGAGAATGAAGAGATCGAGGAGAGAGCAGACTAGCTAGCCGCAGATGTGGCGCGAAACCCTCGCGGCGCGGACTCCCGCCATGCCGATTTTGGCCTGGTTAGGATTGGGGCAGACTGTAAAAATCCCTTGCACAAGATATCAAAAGCACTGATCGCTTTCATGTCATACTTAATGAAGTTACTTATTCCTGAGATCGAAATAACACGGCATGCTGGATTACATCCCAGGTAGTTTAGGCTGTCTCCGTGTGTGTCACACCTAGCGTCGAGCCCTCGCTGCCGCTCCACTTTGGTTTTGTGCCGCGTTCGCAATCGTATCTCCCCAGGCTCAGCAGCTCATTTGCTCTTGTGGCGTGGGATCTTAGAGGATACTGCGCGAACTTGCTGCAGCCCCGGCGAGGAGGCCACGAAGACTTGTGTCGCTAAGGCTATGACGCTCAAAATGAGGCAGCTTTTACCTAGGCGATAAGCCTAGTTCACGCGTCATGCGTCTAACAGCCCATCGCACTTCATTCGTGTTTGGGCAGCAGAAACATGGATCAATCAGTTATCAAATTCAAAGTCATGAATTTTCGCTGTATAGATTGCAAATCTGAGTGCAGCTTTCTGATAAGGGAAAGTTGGTGCGAAATGCGAATTATTAGACTTGTCTTGTTGAACTGATTACAAATCTGCGTTCCTTATCTGCGCGGTTCTCTAGAAGAAGTTGTGAACGATTGAAAGTGTGAAATCAGGGTACTGATCATTATGTGCTCTAGAAATCAGCTTGGGAGTGCATAATAGGCGTAATTGTTGATTATACTGACTAAAAAAATGCACACATACACCAGTGACTTAGATAAGTGTTTTTGAACAGCTACTTCTTGATGTTGTAGCACTGAGTGTTTGTCAAATGAAACATCAACGTTCATAACTTTTTCTAGAGGGCAGCGCAGCAGGCAGAAGTCAAATTTGGAACCAGCTCAATAAGACACATTCAAAGATATGCAACTTGTTCCAAATCGTCACGAACTTGGGGTCCTTTCCTATTCAGATTTTACAATCTGGCACACGTCATGCTTGGCCGAAAAAAGCCCAAAAGCGACAGGAAAAGCCGGAACCTTTCGAGCTCTAGTTTTAGCGCTAGGGCATATGTTTGATTTCACAACCGACTCTTTTCGCTTCATATTCTGTCGTTTAGATATTAAAATAATGTCAGAATTCTATCAGAATCAACTGTAGTTTCTAGGAAATTGCATGGTATTCTAGCTTCTCATGCAGCCAACTATTGTGTGTTGTGTGTTTGTATCGTTCGTGATCATCTGTTCGTCCTGTCTAGCTCTTGGTGTAGTTCAAACTTTTCCTTTCACTAGAAATTGGTGCCAAGGGCTCACGAGCATGGCTGCGTATCCCTGAGTAGGCTCAGAGTTAGAGTAAGTGTCTGCATCTCGAACTCTTATTCGTTAGATATTGAGTGCTTCCTCAACGACAACGATATTATTATCGACGCCGTTGAGGAAGTTCTCTTTTGGCACATTTGGACTTTTCGAGCGGCATTTTTCGGCGCATAACGGGTCCTTTAGAAGTTAAGTGCCCTCACTTTCCGCCATGCAGCAATCAGTAGGGAAGCACAGACAGTGACCCGCAAGAAGCGAAAGCAACGATGCACCTGCCAGATCTGGAGAGACGGAAGATGTACAGCAACGTGAACTTCGTCTATCTACCAAGGATTCACAATCTGATTCTCGTGCATCATCAACAAGCTTCCATGTAGAATTGAAGACGCAGAGAGTACCGATTGAACTTTCCTCTCTCTCAGTTAATTGACTTTTTAGAGCGGTACAAGCGTTCCTAATGGCTTGTGAGCTGGTGAGGTGCTGCCCCTCGGTAACAGCAATTCTGTCATTGTTTGTCACTTGCACGAAATTGAGGCGCTATTCGGTTATCCGGGTCTCGACTTTTTTTTTGTCGTAGAATTTGTTCAAACTTCATCTTGAGGAGTTTATCTCACGCTAATCACAGACATCACACTTCCTGTCGAAGCGTACTCCTGCGGTTACGTCAATGTATACAGTCGGCCCCAATCGGAATCAGGCCGAACCTTCGGCTGAATTCGCGCGCTCGCCGCTAGGGGTTTCGCGCTGCATGTGCGCTGTCGCAGAGAGCAAAGAGATTGAGGAGAGAGAAGACTAACTACAGTCTTTTTCACCCGGAGTAGACGAAACATTCCAAGTGGGCAGCGCGTTCGCACCGTCACTGGCTCAGCGAGATAGAACAGAATGAAGAGACGCAGACTGCAAAGCGGCGCGAATCGTTGCGAAGTAGACTCCCGCCAGTCCAATTTCCGCCTAAACTGGGTTGAAACTTACTATAGCCGTAGACATGACAGTCAATACCAATACCTTAGCAACACGGACTCCCGTGGGCATTTGAAAAATTATGATGATGGCGAAACCGCAAGCGACACGCGCGCCACTCAAAAAAATCTTCTTGGTTTTCATCTCTAGTCGAATACACTGGGAGAGTGACAGCTGAACGTTGAGATGATGCCTTCTTGTATGAGCGTTTTAAGCTCCTGTGGGCGCATCGTCACAATTTTATAAATGAACATAGCTATACGATGGGTGGTTAAATCATACGAGCAACCTCATGCAGGGAGTTATCTGAAGTGATTAAGAAGCTTTCATTTCATGTGGCAGGGCCTTTTCGTGGAATTTTGACGCCTAAGTTGGCATGGAAAGCATGAAAGTTGTTAACTCATACACTCCATAATTTCACAAATAAGCATTATTGCAGCTAGCAAGCTTGATATGCATAATCAGCGTGCTCAAAAACCCTTCAAGGCAAATTTTTTAGCAGATTTAGTGTTTCGATTCATTTACTGTATGTTCATATTCAACTGCCAAATACTCCTTAGACAAAGTTGAGGCGTGATTTTGGCTAGGCACGCGCCATACTTGGTCCGCTTCTTCATTGGTCAATTCAATGAACTGATCAGTAGTGAAGCGGTTGTACACTTGATCGCTTGATCCACTTCATTTACTTCACCAATGACGAAGCGGATCTAGCAGATCAAGCGGATCAAGTATGGTCGTGTCATACCTTATTGCAAAGTCGGTGAGATTGAGGCCGTCTCGCGCATTAAGCTTTCTCTCTTTCCTATCTCATTTCAAACGCTTTTTTACTATGAGATGTTAACTTTCGACTACCCGGGGCATTTTTGAAAAGTACGAATACTGTTTAACTGATTAGAGACTTTTTGGCATCCTGTGCATGCAATGGTCGCAAACTTACCGAATCTCGCGATCACGCAAAGCTGCAAATACTTTAAAGGCAGTGCCTCACCAAAATTTAGTTGCCGAGATTTTTGCATTTTGCATGCCTGTCAGACCCTGTCTAGAACTGTATGGGCTTAAAGGCAGTGCCTCGGCAAATCTCAACCTTGCCAAATTTGCGCTTACCTGGGTTTTTTCAATACGCTGATCCCGAAAATCCACTTTTGAAAGCTTGAAAACGGCGAAAATGAGCGTTTTTCAATGTCCTTCCCTTTGATATTAAACGAGTGGAGCAAGGCCGATGACGCTAAATCGTGGCAGAACCCAATAAAGCGTTGCGGCGGGCAGCCTCCAATGGTGAGAAGGAAATTGCCAACTCGTCCAGATGCGTGTAAGATTGGCCTGCGCGTGTAAGTTCGAGAGCGATTTTTTCGGCAAGGAAAGCATGCTGTGCAACCGGGATTGCACTGTTTTCATAGCTGGGAGATAAGGAACAGAGCGCGTCAAATCCCGAGTTGTTGGATTTTGCCGATCCACTGCCTTTAAATTCGCACGAAGCTCCCAAAAGCCCCGTTCTGGAAACCGCGCGGAAGCAACGTGAACGAGTTGTACCTTCCAGCTTCAGCCTCAGCCACAGTGGCGGTAACAGAGAGGAGGTGGATGCCAAGTGGAGGCACGTGTTCAAACGCAGAGTCGTCCGCGCGTACCAAATCGCTCTCCGCGCACCACTATGAGCGAGTTTTTCTCAGCGTGGAGGGGGTCAAATTGAGTGTGACTTGTTGCAATGGCCTATTTAGAGGTCCCTAAAATAGAATATGTGAAGATCCGCGCGGCCTCAATTTTGGTGAGACACTGCCTTAACACGTTGACGACCTTGTGTATCCGCACGTATGCACGCCCTGACTCCCGTTGAGCATTTTCGTGCATCCGCGCATATGCACGCTAGTTTTTTAGGTGCAAACGAAAAGTTTTAAGGTAACTTCTATGCAGTAATACTATTAGTGGCCTGATTGTCTTACAGAACACAGGGCATCGCGGCAGCTGTTCAGAAGTTTTGGACGCAAAATTGAGTAATCAGTACGTTTTTGATGTAATCAATACATGCTAATTACGTTTTCTCGAGAAGGTGAAAACTCTGTATAGCTGTTTTGAAATCAAACAAAGATGTATCAGGCAAAAAACATATGGTTTTACAACGCTTTTCTCGAAGAGCGATTCCTTAGATATAGCCATTACATGGATTATTGGAGGGAAAATCGATGCAAAAACATTGATTTGTGTAAGTCCTGGTAAGGCTCTGTGATATACCTGTATGTCTGAATAAAGTTCGCATTTTTTACTAATAAGTGACAAAAAGACTCCCACATAATGTTTTCATGCATCCGCGCGTATGCACGGGCCAAATGCGCTAAGGACGTTAGTGGGAGTTTCGCCCAAAATGGCGCGGTCGTCAACGTGTTAAACACCTATGCCAAATAGCGTGGTGAATTCTTACTAAAATTGTATTATTCTCTGAAAAATGATTGAGGGGATAAAAAGAGAAGAGTATGTAAAGAACGACGTTTTTATGAATAACCTGACATAGTGAACCTGCGATGGAGCAATGTGCCCCAATCATAATTCGCGCTCTATCGCGAATTCAGCCGTTGGGTTGCTGTACGTCTTCCGTCTCTCTCAGACCTGGAACGCATGGAAGCATAGTAAAGCCCGGTGATCGCCGTCGCGTTGCATTCGAGCTCCTCATATTGAAATCATCTTGTCCTGCATTGACTGCATTAGTCGCTGCCCCCCAACACTTGCGAAGTGCGACCAAGGGCTTGCACGGCTTTTTGCGTGCGCATTACTCGTAGTTTTTTAGGGTCCTCTTGACAATACGATACCAGAATTTTGGATGATGGTTTTACAAGAGGAGTCAGAAACGATAGTCATGCTTTGCAATTGTATCGAAACTGTAAGATCAATATTCACTCTGCTTCGAGAAAAAAACGACTATTTTATTACTTGACTCTGAGCGATCACCAATACACTATTAGGTTGGTGCAAAAGTAATGCGCGTTTTTCTAGCCCTTATTTCAAGACAGCTTTTCTCCATCGAAGTATTTTCCATGATACTCACACAGCATAATTTAAAAAAGCTTCTTTCATGCTCTATTCAATGGTGGTTGAAAGAAGCTTCTAGCCTCAATCGTCAAAAATTTACTGGGCTTCATACAACCGCACTCGAAACCAGAATTTCATTGCACTTACTTTTTTGGCTAGAATTTGAGAGCGAGTAAACGCATTCTTTTGAAAATTTAACCACTGTATATAGTGGAAATTATTTGCTTTATGCATGCTTTGCTGTTTTCTCAGAAACTACATATTCAGACTGAGATTTCGGTGCCCCAACATGAGTGATGGTTTTGACCATTCTGTGGCCCATAGATTTCCTTTGAAGAAAGCAATCGCCAAAGTTTTGCTCATTCCTGTAAGCGTAAGGGTGGACCTCCTGTTGACAGTTTTTGTAGAAATTTGGAAGCTGTTCAGTACACAGAAAATCAAAAATCTCCATATTTTGGGATTTTTGGGGCTACGAAAAAATGTCGAAAAAAGCGGAAAATTTTAAATATTATTTTTTCCTTTTTTCAAATCTTCTTTATTTAAGCCCCTTTCAACTTTTATCTGTACTACTGGCTTGCGGCTACAAGACAGTCGACTTTTCATTTATGCCAACAAATCTTGAAAGAAGTTACGATCAGTTAAAAACGAGATTTCCGAGAAAAAATTTTTTTGCTTATCAATCCGTATTTTTTCACCGTTTTGCGATGTTAGTACAAATTAATGTGCGCTGTATAGAGAGAGGTTTGGTGCCTCTGATGAGTTTTGCCGCGCTGAAGAATATGAATTTTTTAGAAAGTTATAGCACGTCAAAGTGAGAACTCGCAAAACGCGCATTACTTTTGCACCAACCTAATATATATTGTGCAAAAATACCATTCTACTACTCTTGAAATAACTTACCTGACAATTTGTAGGGGAAATACAAATGCGCTGAATACTGGCCCAAGCAAGTTGGGACTAGCAAGACTTATGCTGGAATTGAAATTACCAACATGCAAGTCAGTCTGCATTAAACCATAGAATGTTAAAGACGCACTGAGAGACTCAAAATGCAGATACGGCCAATGAGTCCTGATGAACCGTCAGTAATTGTTTCCGTGCTCTTTGTCAAATTTTTCAAGCCAGGCGGTACCCAGGAAACACGGGAAGTTAGACATTATCAGTGGCAGGACTGGCCAGATAGAGGAGTGCCTCCTTGCAGACTGACCACTATGGTAGGGAAATGCATAAGTGCATAAAAGCGGACTAATCTTACCTCTTACTATTAGGAGCTTCTATCGCGCATCCGAGGTACAACAAAACCAATCATTGTGCACTGTTCAGCTGGGATAGGTCGCACAGGAACGATCGTTGCTGTCGAGTATATTTTGGGTGGGTCAAATTTGCACTTACTCATCCTCAAGCAGGCGTCTCAACATTTTTAGAGCGAATGCAAGCTGGAAAAGAATGTGCAGCAATGAACGATTTGCTGAGAGAATTGCGTGATCAGAGAGCTTACACTATCCAAAACGAATTAGTTAGTCAGCTTTTCACCATCTATAAGGAATTTAAACAATTGTCAGCTCATTATAACTTTTCAGCAGTATCTGTTCATTCATCGTATCATGCTTTGCTACTTTTTGGAGAAGCACAGGCAAAGGTGTGCACATGTACAAACACTTTTCGTGTACAAAATAAGATCCAAAAGTAAACTGGTTATCCTGAGATCTGACCCAACGTTTTGTTTTTGTTCTTTAACACGCACGACACGATCATTTTATCGATTTCTTCCGCTTCGGACATACAACGCCATCAACTTTCTCGCACATTTATTTCAATTGCCGATGGATCGTTTTCCAAAAGGTGGTTTTTCAATTAGGGTTCCCATAGATCTCCAAATAAATGTCGACATCTCATGTATTTTCATCGTAAACTAGCTGATAGTCCCGGTCTCACCCGGGACTCTTAGTTTAACCAATATGTCATCGGCTCCCATTCGTATAGAGGCGGGTTGCAAACTTCCCTGACCTTTAGGATAACTTGTTAAACCTCTACGTTAAAGCATCAAATTTCGTACTTTCTCGTCGAGCTTATCCTTGAAGTCACTGAAGTCAGCAGCCCGCCTCCACACGAATCTGGAAGCCAACATACTTACACTTTCTAACTTCTACATTGCGCGAAAAGCGCTTTGAGACGAACCCGCTGCATCCTGTCAGCCTTGAGATTAGAATGAACTCTACCGCCCCTGCTTACTGCTTATATGTAAAAAAGATCGGTTGTCATGATGGCCCTTCATTTTCTTAGGTTTGAGTAAACAAATCAATAAATCGATAGAATGGTTCGGCGAATCGCCGCGAAAAGTAGCTCTAAACTACCGCCGGGGTCGAAAACATACGTGTGCGAAGTTTCAGCCAGATCGGTTCAGTGGCGCGTGTTTCTATAACGAACGAACAATTAAACGAACATCCTCACAGACATTGAGTTTTATATATATATAGATTGCAGTGTAGTAAAGTACGAACCCAGTGTTGGGTCGTATGTCCGAAATGGTAGTACACGTATGACCCACCGGTGAGTCGTATTGTCGTGAATGTGTTAATCGCAATAATTCCTTCCACATACATTTACTGATTTTGTCCACAACGATTAGAAGTGTTATGTTAGTCAAAGGGTCCTAGATTCATTGTTTTCAAAGATTCTGAAGCTAACCAAAATTCATACATTGCAAAACCTGCCTTTTTTGACCAGTATAAAACTATGCTAAAACTTTAGTCACCTTTTATGCGCTTTTATGCATGTGGGTTGCATTCGTAAGAAATGAAAGTGAAAGTGAAAGGATAGTGCACTAGTATAATGGTACGTAATTTTCCAAATTTCAGATACGAGTCTATACTGACAGGAGAGACGCAAGCGAAATATCAAAAATTCATCCAAGAATATAATGCAGTTACAGGAACTAGTTGAATTCTCGTCTATCATAATGAGATACGAAAAGCTATTCTCTGTAATTTGAAAATAAAATTTTCGACTGATTATTTGCAGTTGCTTTGCAAAATGGTGGAGGAGGGCTATTTCATGAACGCAGTGGCTCGGCATATTTTGAGAACACCCGCTTTGAGATGTGGGCTTGTTTGTTACTCTGATCATGGACTTGCATACTGGAGAGCTTAAAAGGGCAAAAACAAGCCAGAAGACATTCATGTTGACGATAACGAGTGGACGAGGGTCTACTTGGGCGCAAAGCCCTGGTAGGACTCTATGTTCTTGATTGTAGCGGTGTACACATTGACAACAAGAGAGGAATTCCGCACTCGACCACGAGCAAAACTGGCTTGGGAGCCGGTTCGGGAACAGTAAGTCGTAAAAGCCATGCCGTCTAGCAATCTAATGATAAAATAGCCCTAAAGCTGCAGGATTCCCAATTATGTCAAATGTTAATGATGTATAATTCGTGGAAATTGTGGAGATTATAAAATAACAAAAATTGAAGCTTCAAATCAGTTATAATTTCGCAATTTCGTTTACTGACAAGAATCGTCCCATATCTCCTTCCATCAGAGAGAATAATAATAAAAAAGTACTTAGATTGCTCCTTTCTCAAGCTTTTGAATCATATCTAAAACTTCGAAGAAGACCTTCTTGGTTTCAAAAGTGAAGCATGATAATTACCCAGAATTAGATGATACTGTAGCTAGATAAAACTGCTCATATCTCGCTTCACAGAAAAGCTAGGAAAAAAAGACGATTTGTGTCGATTCCTCGTGTTCCTAGCTATCGAATGGTCTACAAAATATTGGTGCACAAAGCTTTTCCAGTCCAAAAAAGTCTTGCTCCGGCGACCCATACAAGCCAAGAACGGAGTTTAGCAAGATAATAGTAAATATCTGCACCTCTTTTTTGAAAGGCCACGAGTATTTTTCACTCAACAACTTATATGCCATTGAAAAGCCCGCGAAGCAGGGATTTGATGTAGACCATCTCTTTTTCTCTAGCTCCCCTCTATTCGGAGATACAGGGCATTTTAGCTAAAAACATGTGTGTTTTTGTCAAGAAAATCCTGCGTAAAAATTGAATAAAAATGCCTGGTTGTCTAACTGAATTACAGAGCAAGATCTTGCCAGTAAACATAAATCGGCTTTTATTTTCCTAGCTTTATCTCATTCTTTCAGAAATGGGGCGAAAAGTGACTGCATGAAAATAAGCTGATGCTGAAACTAGATATGATTTTTATATCTGAATCCATAGGAGAGCTGGAAAAAAGAGATGGTCTGTCGATTCTGTATGAAGCTTTCGAATGGTATGTCGACTGATGAAACATAAAGCTTTCCTGAGTCAAGAAAGGCTCTGTTGAATGACCTTCCAAAGCCTAAGCAGAGAACATCTTCATATTACACCTTGTACCACTTATTCTCCCTCTTTTCACTCCCGCTCCCGTTAGGCATGTAAGCTTGCGTCAGCATTCAACTTGAGGCTCAGTTACCCCTTTCACTTTTCTAGGTCGGAAATAGCCAGAACCCCCTTCACTTGGAGGGGATCCTGCTCCGCACCTATGATCCGGACTGTCAAAAGTTTAGGATACGCAGCTCTTTTCAAAATTTTACATGACTCGCGCAACTTCCATTGTCATCATGCGATTTCGCTATTATTCAGATGCGTTCAATGTTTCGCTGGATCATGAATGCATAGTTTATAGCTTTTGTGCATTATTGACCACAGACCGTGCAAGTACTAGACGATAGAGTGATCCGAGTGGAGCCAAGCACCAAGAACGCAGAGAGTGCCTCAAGCAGATCTGCGCAACGGAACGAAGAAAAAAGAAATTAACTACTTTCTTCGGCAAGATATAATACGAGAAGAGGCAAGTAAATCTGGTGTAGAAAAGCAGAGAGCAGTGCAAAGACCAATCAAAAATTTGGTTCATTCTGCCTATACTAGGTTGTTGCAAGAGTTTTGTCTCATTAAAATTAACGTTTGTGAAAAAATCAAATTTGCTGGATAAAGCGAGTCATGATTATTATGAAAGCCATGCGAAACTCAACTGAGAGAAAAGAGAAAACTTGGAAAAACTCGCAAGATTTCCTTCAAGACCGTCTACTCTGACATATCAATGTTTCCATATAAGGACAGGCAGACATATTTGGCTCCCATCATTAGTAATCTGTATCTAAAGATTATTTAATAGCTAAAGAGAATTCAAGCTGTCGTTGCTGTACAGAAATTTTGTAAGCAAATCAAAAAAGCCATTTTTTGAGCTCTCCTCAGCATTCTTCGCGTAACATTCACTTGATCAAGACGGCATTTTGGTACCTTAACTTCAGTGCTTAAAATTACATCACCGAAAAGCTATTCAAGAGAATACTCAGACAGTCGGTGCCGTAGCTCCGGAGGACAGTCGAAATCTGGCAGAGCTGCGGAGGACCCAATTGACCATTGAGAGCGGGGCGAGGGTCGGCGGTCCCTTCTTGTAGGTCACGGTGACGTCACAAGCAGGCGAAGGGACCCCTCTCCGGGACGCGCAAATCTCTGCTCCGGAGGTACGCCAGATTTGGGAGAGCCCCGGAACAGAGATTTGCGCTCCGGAGGTACGCCAGATTTGGGGCACAAATTGGGAGGTCTCCGGAGCACAAATGGGAGGGCCCCGGAGCAGAAAATGGGAGGTCTCCGGAGCACAAAATGGGGGACTCCGGAACATAAATGGGAGGGCTCCGGAGCACGAGTGGCAATCCCCCGCTGGGGAACCCCGCGGCTCTGCCATTTTTGCTCTGGAGGTATGCCGTCGACTGTCTGAGTAAGCATTGAAATGAACAAAAAAAGTGCATCTACTTGGTCTTCGTGATATTACACTAACTTTAAAATTCTAAGGAAATGACTGCTTCAAAACAAGGCAACCAAATATCATGCAGAACCTTTCTAAACAGACGTATATCTTTCCTTCGGACTTTCTTCATGTTTTTGCTTTTTCTGATAACACTGAGACGAACCGCATCGGATTGCGTCATCAATATGATAACAAAAAATCTTTAAAGTGATGTGTGAAGAGCTATGCTTGGTTCATTTTGGATTGAGAATCTAAGCACAGCATCAAAAACAAAGGGGTGTAGGGCTTTTCGCACGATCATAATTCTTTCCGCGCAGGACCGCCGTCGCGCGCGACACACCCTGCGGCGGCTCTTGCCTTAGGCTGCGTTCATACTGATTCCCATGTTCTGGAACTGTTCCCGCACAGTTCTCGCACTGTGCTGAAACTGTGCGGGAACTGTGCGGGAACTGTGCGGGAACTGTGCGGGAACAGTTCCAGAACTGTGCTGCATGCGCTGCAGCCGCCCCGCACCGTTTTGAACGGCGGGAGTTGGAGAATTTTGACCGTTCTCAACGGTTTTTCTTCCAGATTTCGCTCATTTTGGCCTTAATCCTCCACCCCGCTTCCCTTTTTGATCAGCAGCACTGCGAACTCGAAGCGGGGTTGAAGAATGAGCGCTTTTCTGCGCCGTGTATTCGGAAAGATGAGCTATCGTGCGATTGTTCATTCTGTCTTCTTGTTTTTTGCTCAAAACTACTTCATTTGTTCCAGGAAGCGGCTGCCCAGTTTCCATAGCCATCTGCCACAAATTGGGGAGTAGGAGAAATCCTGAAATTGCATGAGTTGGGACTTGTCTCTTGTTTTTTATGATTTTGGGCGTTCTTAGCCTTGTTCGTTTTTCCATGTCGTTGCTTCTCCGTTCTTTCTTCTACCCCGCTTCTCCTAGTGATGAAAAAAGCTGTGAATTTGAAGCGGGGTTGAGGATTGAACGCTGTTCTGCTCCATGTATCCGGGAATATGGGCCTTCGTGCGCTCGTCCATTCTCTCATCGCTATTTTTGTTCAGACCTACTTCATGTGTTCTAGAGACTTGTCTATTTCAATTTTAAGACGATGCGAGACTACGCAGCGACTTGTTAGTACACATGAAGTAGGTCTGAACAAAAATAGCGATGAGAGAATGGACGAGCGCACGAAGGCCCATATTCCCGGATACATCGAGCAGAACAGCGTTCAATCCTCAACCCCGCTTCAAAATCACAGCTTTTCTCATCACTAGGAGAAGCGGGGTAGAAGAAAGAACGGAGAAGCAACGACATGGAAAAACGAACAAGGCTAAGAACGCCCAAAATCATGAAAAACAAGAGACAAGTCCCAACTCATGCAATTTCAGGATTTCTCCTACTCCCTAATTCGTGGCAGATGGCTATGGAAACTGGGCAGCCGCTTCCTGGAACAAATGAAGTAGTTTTGACCAAAAAACAAGAAGACAGAATGAACAATCGCACGATAGCCCATCTTTCCGAATACACGGCGCAGAAAAGCGCTCATTCTTCAACCCCGCTTTGAGTTCGCAGTGCTGCTGATCAAAAAGGGAAGCGGGGTGGAGAATTAAGGCCAAAATGAGCGAAATCTGGAAGAAAAACCGTTGAGAACGGTCAAAATTCTCCAACTCCCGCCGTTCAAAACGGTGCGGGGCGGCTGCAGCGCATGCAGCACAGTTCTGGAACTGTTCCCGCACAGTTCCCGCACAGTTCCCGCACAGTTTCAGCACAGTGCGAGAACTGTGCGGGAACAGTTCCAGAACATGGGAATCAGTATGAACGCAGCCTAAGCGAAGCTAGGGGAGGAAAGAGTTGCGGCGTGTGTGACGTGTTGAGACAAGTCAAAATCAGGGTAGCGCTGGGTACCGTTCCGTGCGAAAAGACCGTCTCCCAAAACAAAGGACTCATGAAAATATCCAAGCAGAAGTATGTTGTATTTCTTATCCATTGAGTCGTATCAGGTGATGTTTTATCCCCTCAACTCCAGTTGCACTATGATGACACTATTCGCAGATATTTTCACACTGAATTCTCATAGTCCAGCAAATGCATACTCAAAAAGCATCAACTTTTTATCGCCTCCAACATCAGTAATTTGTAGGTTGATCTCAAAAAGCCATCTTGGTTGAAGTGCGAAACTGGACCAACTTCATCATGTACTGCCAACAAATCCATAATCTATAATCGCAAAATTAACTTTATTCGTCAAGATCAAAAGCGATGTGACCTTTACTGAACAAAGGCTTCCATATAAGTGACCTTCCTAGTTCATATTTGTTTTTATCGCCCAGAAAAGACCATTGTTTCATTGTTTTACTATTTGACTTCGAGAAGAATGGTTGATGATAGATCCATGGTCAACACCTCTATTGAATCAAGTGACTCTTCATCCCACTGTGTCGAAAGTAGCAAAATATTGTTACTTCACACTGCTCAAATTAAGAAATCATTCTTGTAAGGATAGGGGAAGCACTGTTAGCTACACTCAAAAATTCTTGGAGTGCTTAGCAGGACTTGTTGAACAGTTTGGAGGGTTTTCCAAGAAGAATTTTGAAGTGAACACACTGTATTGAGATACGTCCTCGTTTTATAATGATTAAATTATTATAAATTAGAAAAGAATGCTTAACTCTAATCTGTTGAGAGTCATTTTTAACTCATGGAGCGACTTATTCTACTAAAGTGATCTTAATGGCATAAGTACGCAAGCAGGTGTTTGAAATTCTACAATAGATTGAAGAGGAGTTGATAACAATGAAGGCCCTTTTTTGGTTGGCTGAATCAAAGGTTATATTTGATCATCTGATATTGGTGAAAAGGTACTGTACGACAATAGAAGATCTGCTCAATATAAGCCCCCTAAAAGAGAGAAATTCACCATTCGAATCCATTCCACAACAAAATGGCATTCGCCTTGAAAGCTATCATTCTGGTATTCTTACTCTTTACTTATAGGCTCATGATAACTCTTACAAATGACGATTTTAGGCTGCTTTTGCCGGAACAGTTCTTTCAGCAATTTCAAGTCCTTTCCAGAAGAAGATCGTGGACATTGGTAATTTCCTCGATTTTTGCTAATGAAATGGAAAATGATGGCGTTTTATTAAGGACTCAGCTGCGGAGGAATTCTCATGCCAGAAATGACTGTTCAGATGAGAGAGGAGATTCTGGAATTCCATAATCGGCATCGAGCCAACCTAGGTTCTGGAATCGTTTCTAGCAATTCCAGGAAAATGCCACCAGCATCGAATATGTATAAGCTGGTAGGCGGTGAACAGTCCGAATCAATATAATTCTTTCTAAGTCAGAAAAAAAATTCTAGAGTTGGTCTTGTCTGCTAGAAAGGAAGGCCCAGAGCTTCTTGAGATTAGGCGATCCAATAACTAAGAATACTCTGGAGGTGCTCCTGCCCAGTACGCTCAATCAATATTCAAAGTAACAATGATAGTTACTGAAAGAGTCAGCCTTTACTCATTGTGGTATTAAGGTGGCTCTGCTCGCAGACCCCGACAACTTATGATAATTTTGTGGAACCTGCACTTACTCAGTGGTGGAATAAAGTCAAAGATCAAACAGGATTGCTTTATAACGAGACTACCGCATCCTTTGGAAACGTGAGTACATTTTAATTTGAAGTATGTGGCTTTAAACGCATGAAAAGGATGTTATAGATGGCGTACGACAGGGCCACCGAAGTGGGTTGCAGCGTAAGAAAGCACGGCAATACTTCTTACTTGATTTGCATCTACGATTTGTTAGTTCAGAGTTGCAAATCCTTCAAAGGTTAGCAATAATTTTGATTTCAGAGGACCGGAAACTCCGTTGGATCTAATCTATGAATCAGGGCAAAAGTGCCAATGCAAAGCCTATCCGAACTCAACGTGCTCCGCGTTAGACAGCCTGTGCATCAAGAACTAAGTAATACTTCGAGTAGTCACAGAATGATATAGTGATATGCTTGATCTTTTAGGCTTGCGACAGTCATAAGAACCTGAACCGTTGCAATTTCTAGTCATAAACACTTCATGTTGTCTTGCATGAGCATCTTATTGTATTCAATCATAAACACACATAAGCATGATTTATAGTTCAGTAAGGTCCTTAGGTCAAATTAACAACAATAATGAATGTCCTCTGGAGCCCACCCTAATCCACCAGCTCATCAATAACTCTCGAGTAAGAGGTAAGTGCTTCCAATGCGATAGGTGATATGTCCAAAGCGATGCAGATTGTATATCCTCATATGGTGTATTGGAAAACGTAATTCGACACCAGATGTCAATTGCAAGTATAATCGAGACAAGACTTTCTTTGAAAACTAAGAAGGTGCCCGGAGAATTTCATCTACACTCGACTAACATTTCCCATCATTAGGCTCGTTCCGCCTTCTGTAGAACAACAATGAATCAACGTACTCCCATTTCCAATCTATGTTAGCGACGTAATGAGACTACACTTCATGATATCAGCCGTGCAATATCCCACCTCTTCACAATCTGGTCTGGCACTGATGCTTTTTTGCAGCTTAGCTGCAACAAGGTTTCAATGCTAACGTCATCAGAATTTGTAGTCAATCATTATTGGAGTTAACATGGGATTCCTTTCAACTTCAAGCGGCTTTCCATTTCACAAAATCCGCAAAATACTTCCGGGGGAAACCTAACTTCTGAAACTTCCGGGGCGGACGTTCTTATTGGGCCGTGTGGGTGGGCCCCGCCCTACCTGACTGCGCCGTTTGCGGATTATCTGAGAACAATGCATATTCTTAGTCTGCCTTCTAAATTTGCTGAAGGTTTTCACGATACAAAACCTAAGCACCTTTTGGGTTTAAAGCCTAAGTTTGACAGCTTACCGCAGGTCAGACAAAAGCATAGAAATGCCTCCCACTTCGTCCATTTGAACGTTTAGTAGGGTGTAGAGGCAGTAGGAACCTGCAGCACAGCGCCGATTGAAGTAGCTGCCGCTTCAGAAGAAATTGCAAATCTGACAAAATGTGTGAAAAAAAGTTCCAACTACGTTGTTCACCGCAGCTTTCTAAATAGTCTTCTCATATTTTCACGGAACGTTGAGGGTTGTTGAGGAATGTTTGGCATTACTTATGAAAGAAGCATCATGCTAGCTTCAACCTTAAAACTCAGATTCAGCGACTCTCACTAACCGTAAAGACCTTTGGGTTCTTTGATCTGCTTTCTGAGGTATAATAAGGCAATTCATGGGACAAAAACCCTCTTCGGTTTCTAGCGTAATCCTACAGTAATAAAGAGCGAACCATGATTCACTCCATGCTATAAACCTAAGCTGAAGCCAGCTCTACATACTTATGATGAATACAGTCAAAACACTTTATAGGGAAAATCATCAACGACTAAACAATGCATATATAGTTTTGGGATGTCCTGAACATCTCCCAGTGAGTACGATTCACATTTTGTTAAGTGTCGTAAAGTGATGAACTCTCACTTCAATCCTCTTCATCTACATTTCGTATCAACGTGATAGTTTAACACACAAAAGAAATAATCTATTGGGCAAAGTAAATAGAGTATAATGCAGTTTCAGGAAAAGTTTCAGGCTCTATACCCATTCGGTTCTCTCGAGCTCCACCGGTAAATTGCCGTACTCGACAACAATTTGCTTCGAGAATCTTACGAAAAAAGGTGACCACTCTCGCCGGCCAATGTAGGCAGCCTTCCGAACACATGTTAGATACCAATAACGAGCCCTGTCGACCATAACAGCATGACGCGCATGCTTCTAATGAATAGAACTCCATCTGCGCTGCAGAAGTTGCGGTTGAACGTCTGACTAGTCACAGAATGGATAAATACGGTTACTGTAAATAGCGAAAGACCGTGCTGCTAAACGAAAGAAGTGACTGCTGCAGGGACCACGAACACCCTTGCGGGATTCTTTCAATCTTCAAAATGCAGAGAAAGATTAAAGCACGAGGGGCACGCTCACGGATAGAGGACAATATGCCGCCAATGGGGAACAGGCCATGACTCATAATCCACTCGAAATCTTCGGAATGTGCCGCTCTCACCAGGCGCCACGTTATATGTGGCCTCAATTCGTGTATCTGCCCCCCCCCCCCATAGTCCTCGCAAGCTATGCCGCGACGCAATGTAGAAAGGACATGGTCCAGCACTTCCAGATGCGTCGTAGTCAGCTGATTTCTCAGCTTGTCCATCCATTGCACATATTGGTCTTCCTCAAAAACGTTTTGCTTCGCGAGGAATCCACTCTGATGTTCGCATCCATCTGTCGTCTGCTCTTCCTGTCTGTTTTTGATGTGACCGCCATCGATGCTTCGCTTTCGCAACGTAATCCGCTGGGTCAAGAAAACGGGACATTTTTCTCATATCCGTACTGCGAAGTCCGACTAGGTGTTGCTTGTGTCGGGTCATCTTCAGAAGACTGCGCTCGAGCGCTCTGTGGGTGGTTCTTAAAGCTTTCGACGTGGCTACGGTGTCGGCCCACGTCTCAGCTGCGTAGCAGAGCGTGGAAGAAGGGTTGAGTCGAACAGGTAGGCACGGAGCTCCGGGTCCGTCGGTAGCTTCCTTCAGAGGCCCGAAGGCCCAGGCTGCTCTTCTTTTCCTGTTAAGTTTTTCCCTCAAGTAGTTAGCCATGTTCATCGAACTTCCGAGATACACGTAAGAAGACGTCTCCATGATAGGGATGCCTTCCAATTCCATTTCTGCATCTTCGCAAGGGGCGTTATTCATAAACTGAGACTTCTTCCGATTTATTCGCTCTTTTTCCCAACTTTGTTTATTTCCTTTCCTTTTAGCATCGTCTCTGCTTCGATGATACTGCTGAAAAGAGAACGATGTGGTCCGAGAAATGAAGGTTTGACGGATATCATTCATCAAATCGTATGCCTCCCTCGTATCAGTTCAGTGACTTCACACGCACTGCAAGGTCGTGGTGAGCAGTTTCAGAGGGATTGTGTCGCCTTGTCGGACCCCCTCCCCAATTGGAATGGTCAGGGGGCGATGGAATAGCTGCATCATCGTTGTACAATCCTTGTAGCAGTCGGCTAACGTTTTAAGCTAAGCCCACTCCTTGATCGACTAACGCTGGCAAGATGGCGTCGCTTTCGACACTGTCAAAGGCCTTCCCATGGTCGACGAAGGTTAGGACGAGAGGCAGTCGGTAGTTTCGGCAAATTGACCCTCGAAATCGTCTGTGATCCACCGGTTAGATCCTAGCAGTTTAGGACACTGGATGAAGCACAGCCTAAGAACAGACTGTGAAATCCAGTCTGTTCTTAGGCTGTGCTTCATCCAGTGTCCTAAATTTGCGAGTGAGGATAATTTGTGAAAAGCTTGAGAGTATATTCAGCAGGCATATTGGGCGGTAGTTCCAAAAATCCTCCCGTTCGAAACCTTAAAAAGAAGGACGGTTTTTAAGTTCTCCTCTCGTGGAAAATCCTTACCATCTGTAGGTAAGATGTTAGATGCGACGCGGGAACTTCGTGTAAACGTGGTTGTCCAGCCCGCTGAAGTTCGAAGATAATCTGGTCCTCAAGCGATGACGTTTTTGAATCGCAATACGCACTTTAACAGGTAGAATCCTTGGTGATACTTCTCCAATGGGAACAACGGGCACCGCTACGGGTGTTGATGAGCGGAAGAGATTGATGTAGGAATCCTTCGCGACAGGTTCCATATTATGTAGGGAGAAAGTCGGGTCACGTTCTCGCCCAATAATGCGCCAGCGGCACGTGACTTACAGAAGTCTTTTCGGCACTCAAAATTTCGTCACTTCGGCTGCTTCCAGTATCCTGGCTTGCCTGTACTTCCTGAGATCCTCCTGCAAAGCCGTTCTGCAACTAGCGTTGGCAATCAATCGTTCGTGATGAGTCACAACCGGATCTTGCCTGAAAGATCTTCTCCATTCGAGTAGGTTTTTTGGTGATCTTCAAAATGCGCGCGAAATCTTGGAAGTCACTGACGCGCACTCACCGCGGGCTCGCATTTCTTTCGAAAGCAGGTTGTAGTCGCAGTTGGGTCCTCACCGATGGGCCAGCAACATGATATAAGCTCTTCCGCCTACCGTCATAAACGACTTTTTTGTGGCACTGTGGCGGGCCTTCTTTTCCAGCTTTCGACTGGACCGTTCCTGCGCTCGAAAGAGGCGGTGACCGGAGGAAAAGGATGGAACTACTGCAGCATCGAGCAAGCCCCACCTTTAGTTGGTGAGAATGTCGTCGATCTTCGGATGAGTCGTTCCGTTGGGCGATTCCCTTGTCCATCGACGATGTTCTTTCTTCAGGAAGATGGAATTTCCATGGAAAAGTCGTGCGGAGAGAAGCCCAACAAGACGGTTGTCGTTTTCGTTTCGGAGCCCATAGCTAAACTTCCCGATCCTTTATTCCTCTTCTAGTGGCATCCCGATCTTCGCGTTGAAGTCGCCGACAACGAACTTGTAGAAGGACTAATCGTTGCGGATGACCTGCCCCACATCTCCGCAGAAAGCATCTAATTCTGTTCGTCAGCTGCTGACGTTGGAGAATAGCAGATGATGCTGTCTTCTGATGTGGAGGTCGCAGTCGCAGGATGGCCAGTCGAGGTCTCATGCGAATCAACAAGAATTGATGGATAGACGACAAAGCCAACGCCTCCAACCTTTCGCGATGGAACTTTTTCACAACGAACCACGAGGGTCCCAGCACTCATCTATCACACGTCCATCTTCCTGGACTTCATTTCCTGCAGAACAATGACGTGGTGCGTCAAAAAGAGCGTGGAGGTCGGCGTTTGAGGAGAGTATCCTGGCATTGTATCGTCTGCGCCCCAGAGAGGTTCCCGTAGGTACCACGTCATCTCGCTGCCTTCCGCACTTTTGAACGTGTTAACCTCGGCCACTTCCGTTGAAATCTAAGGAGAAACGTGTCAAAAAGAGTGAAAGGCTGCGTCGCACCACGTACGTACGCTGGTTCACACGGGAACCTCTCTGAGGTGCAGACGGTAGGTTGCTTTATGAGAACATGACTGCACTTGGATGCGACGGGGTGTTTCTCCGCCGGCTTGACGCATGACCTTCTTTGACAAGGCAGCCTGGCGTTGAAGTTTTGAGCAGAATTTTCGCCGTAAAATTAGGTCAGGGTGGAATCGAACCCGTGACCTTCAGCACGGTATTTTTACATGGAGCAGGACGAGGTACAAAACCGGAAATACAGGCTTGACTTGTATTGCTTAAAGTTCAACACCAAGAAGACGGAGTGTATGAAAGTGGGGAAACAAACTCCAGGAACTATATGTATCGAGTGAACAGCTAAAGAAGGCAACGGCGTTCAAGTACCTAAGCAGTCACATCTCAGCGGAAGGAGGCCTACAAGAAGAACTCGCAGGCAGGTTATAAACAGCATGGATGAAATGGAGAGCCTTAACGGGAATTCTGTGCGACAAAAGAATGCCACTGCAACCTAAAGGCAGTGGCTCGGCAAATCCTCGATTTCAAGTTTTTCCGCTTACCTGGAGAAATTCGACGCGCTGGTTCCGAACATCCACTTTGAAGAGAGCGAAAATGGCGAAAACCAGCAATTCCTAAGGCCCTTATTTTGAATCTGAACTAGTTTAGCACTTCCCGCCATAGTAAGAGACGTAAAGTCGTTGACCCTCATATTTATAGCATTGCGGCATGCCGCCTTTGACGGTGGGAGGGGAATCGCGCTCGTCCGGGCGCGTGTAAGAATGTCTTGCGCGCACGCGTCCAGGGGCAGTTTTTCAGGCAGGGGCAGCATGCAGTGCGTTCGGACCTGCTCTTTTATGATGTTTGGGATGCAAGCAACTTCTCATATCAAAATTTTGAGATGTTTGGTTTTGCCGACCTTTGCTTTTAAGTCCCATCTGTGCCGTACCGTTATCCGTCCAGCAGCATTGTACGGCATTTGCTGGTGATGTACGCGGAAAGAGGTGCGCAATCTTTGTGTCATGGAAACAATGATGCTACGATGGACCTTAGGAGGCAGTCACGCTGAAGCACTACGACAGAGAAAATGGAGACAACTGACAAGAAAAGCAGACCCTGCATAAGCGGGACAAATGCGAGGATAAAAAAAAGCCTGACATTGTAGGTGCAGAGCATGAGGCAGACCCCATAGCGAGAATCCTTCCGGAAAGACGTGTCGTTTGATCCAAAAGGCGCCCTGAGGACCCTTACATCGCTCTTGCTACCACCCGACGCCGTAGGCGGGATCCGACATCTCTTATTCTTGTTAAAGAAGTAAGAAATCTTCTTCCCTAAGAACACTTCCTGAACCTACTCTTGATTTACATGGGGCACTAACCCTGGTGTAGAGGGGGCGCCTAGCGATTAGAAAGCCCAACGACGGAGGATCTGGTTTTCTGGTGGGTCAGGTAGGCGCCAGACTTGTCCGGCTCAACCTTTTCATGAATCGCATGTGCAGATTCACCCATTCGCTATTCACGACGCGCTCTCATATCTAACCTCTGACTTTTTCCTTTATTTTCTTTTCTTTGCGACATAGGTGGGGCGCAAAGCGATGTAAATAACAACTTTAAACAGCAAACAATTAGAACGCATCTGTCAACCGTTGGAATGACTACAAGAAGTTATCCCCTAAGTCAGTAAGATTTTTTCGCAGGCGGGCAGTTTTTGGTTGAGGCGCGCAAGGCAAGTACTTGAGAAATTATTTATTCGAAAGCAAGGAGGAAAGATGTTTTTTTTTCCTTTTCCTTGCAACAAGCATTGGAAATAAGGTTGATATCGGGATTATTCTGAGAGGACATCAACCAGCACTAATTTTGAGTTAGAGCAAAGATCTCGTTTACCATATTATCAAACACATTTGCGCCTTAGTTGAGGATATCATGCATCATGTGATGATGAAAACTGCAATAGTTCCATTTGTCTATATATCTACCTACCCCAAAGTTAACACTTGTGCAGAAAAACGTATATAAAGTCAGCCTGTACAGACTGTTGTTTTCAAAAAATTGCCGCTATCACAGCTATAGACAATCGGTTCCTTAGTATTTGCACGTTATGGTATTTTGAGAGAGTATCCAAGACGAGGAGAATTTTTAGTACCGTGACAAGATCAGAGAGTAAATAAGACAAATGATAGTTTCATGACCTAATGATGTGGTAAGTAAGATTTGTATGTAATAAGTAAGATTCATAGCCAAAGGGAAGATAAGGGGCAGCTGGGTCGCCTTCTATGGTCGCGTTAGCTATATACTGTAGCTAAGGTCAGCGCCGGATTCCGACGGATAATGGTTTCTATGACCGGTCCACTAAAATTCCTGAACTTCAACCTGGAATACTTTTTTGAAACCTCACTTTTAGCTTTCAGCAACAGACATTGTTACTGAAAAGAAGGACCTCGAAAACACGTAAATCCCAATTTTGGCCGTGATTGGTTCATCTTGATCACTGAACGTCCTTTAGAGTACTGAACGGGGAACACGCGGAAGGCGACAAATGCCCTGGAGAACGAGCGCGACTAGTGGCCACGCCCCGTCCGAGTTCTCGTCAACTCTCGCTCTTCAAATTTGTACTGGAGCGCGACTGCACGCTTTCTATATGTTCCGCTTCTTGTGTGATTTCATTTTTGTCTTGTTCGTGTCTATCGCTTACGAATTTTACATCTTTCACGTTTTGCCTATACATTTTTGCTCACAAGGGTCTAAGATGTTATTGATGCGGCAGTTCTTTCATAAAAGATGTACACATGCGTGACTCAAGAGGACTTGTCAACTGACTCTACAGAGGTATGGCCTTTTTTTGAGTTCTGTGCTGTTTCTACTTTTGCATGTTACAACTTGCTTATTTGCTCAATATCGCTTTATCGAACGTTCACCCCTTTCTTCATAGCTAGCATGATTTTGTCATTATCAAGTTGACAGCGCGATTTATTCATTTTTATTTTAGTTGAGGTGTGCCAAAATGATCTTGCTGTCAAATTCGTGAACTGCAGCTATGGAGTTACGAGAAGGTAAGCGCTCTCACTCGACTCCTGTTCTGCTTGAACTTTGCAAACCGTTTTCTGTCATTTAAGAATTGAAGTCACGCAGAAGTGCGCAATCGCATTTGAACAGAGGCGAGCTCAAGAGCCTTGATGTGAACATTCTGTATATTTTGCAGCTTACACTCGAGATATCAGTGCCAAATGTTTCCTATTATTAAGTGTTGTGCATTCATATGATGTTTGTTTTGTTGTCGTTAGCCTAACATTTGTTGCATCTGGGCAAAAGGCGCTCATCAATTGTGTGCTTTTTGTACCGCAGAAAAAATAAATGTTCAAGTACTAGTTTCATAGTCAGTGGTCTACTCAAAATTGGGAGTGATTCATTAGGAACTCCAAAGATTCTCACTCATGCTGAAGGAACACCATCTCAACCAAAACTATTCGATCAAGTGTCATAACGTCGACAGGATATCAGTTTGAGCTGCCGAAAATGTACTGTAGTAGTTGTTTCTTTTCTCAAAGGAATAATAAGAATTAACATGATTTTGGTCACTTGTAAGCAGTATTTTTGAATAAGTAATTGCCTCAAGGTAGATATAGTCATCGATAATGACCGTAGAACAAATAGAATTACAGAAGAACTTTGGAAACCTTGTACAGGAATTCCTTCCTTTTTTGAGGTGAAGTTATACTTTACATCAAACTTGGGCTTTCTTTGTGATTCAGTTTTTCTTCAGGGTGAACCTACAAGTACAAGGCATCGGGCAGGTTGTGCACTGCAAATATAAAAATTCTTTACTATCAAAGACATTTGCAGCGTTGAGTGATAGCGTCATTTCCTCTCTTTTTTTGTCCCATACTACGGTGCATTCTCTGAAGAAAGTGTTCTCTTTTGCACTGTAAGGCAAATAGTGAGCAGAAAAATTATCAAATAAACTTGAAATTGTCAAAGACTAGATTCTGAAAGATATCGCGAAGCTATATCGAGTTTGAGGTCCGAGCTGGATACAAATTGATGTTGACATTTTGCTAGAAAATGAGGATTCTGTCTCACTTTGAGCCTCGAAAGGAAACTGCTCCGCAGCAGTTATTGTGTTTCATCTCTATTCGAATGACAACCGCATAACCATATAAAATTGATGCAATTCCGTTATTCTCACTCAATTTACAAGGTAATCGAAATTCGCTTAGTGAGCTAGATAATGACCGAAATCGAGCTCCAAATGTACACTGCAATCAGTTAGCTATCACTAAACAACCTACGAGTTCTACAAGTTGAGTTACGTAACCTTTCCTTCGTACACTGGGTGATCACACCTACCAAATTTTGCACAACGACCTCTGATGGGCAAAAAAGAGTAGTCGAATGGGACACCGCTACCATTCAGGGGTCAGCCTATGCGCCACAAGAGCGTCAATCTGACTAATTGACTCGAGGCTAGCGCTAAACAGCAGGCAAGCGGGAGGCGTGGCCACCGTTTCGTCGCCTCAGCTGGGTTTTGTCGCCTTCCGCACCACACCGCTCTTGTGGCGCATAGGCTGACCCCTGAATGGTAGCGGTGTCCCATTCGACTACTCTTTTTTGCCCATCAGAGGTCGTTGTGCAAAATTTGGTAGGTGTGATCACCCAGTGTACGAAGGAAAGGTTACGTAACTCAACTTGTAGAACTCGTAGGTTGTTTAGTGATAGCTAACTGATTGCAGTGTACATTTGGAGCTCGATTTCGGTCATTATCTAGCTCACTAAGCGAATTTCGATTACCTTTTAAATTGAGTGAGAATAACGGAATTGCATCAATTTTATATGGTTATGCGGTTGTCATTCGAATAGAGATGAAACACAATAACTGCTGCGGAGCAGTTTCCTTTCGAGGCTCAAAGTGAGACAGAATCCTCATTTTCTAGCAAAATGTCAACATCAATTTGTATCCAGCTCGGACCTCAAACTCGATATAGCTTCGCGATATCTTTCAGAATCTAGTCTTTGACAATTTCAAGTTTATTTGATAATTTTTCTGCTCACTATTTGCCTTACAGTGCAAAAGAGAACACTTTCTTCAGGTCAAATCAAATGCAAAGTCCGTACTCTGCGGATATTACGCACTTTTTATTTTTCCACGCCTAAGTCAAAAACGATGTTAGTTTGACTTTTATATTCCTGTAGAAGTAACCTGTTCAAGAATGGGCTCCCTTCCACCCGCTCTGCTTGCTCGTCTCCAAAAACGAGGAATTGTTCGAGCAGGTATGTATTATTTTTTCTGAATGGGGTTTTTTTTTTTTATTTGACTATTTTTTAGCCAATGAGGAGGTTATCGCGGAGAGCTACGATTCATCTGATGCAAAAGACAAGAAGGCGAATGAAGCAAATTCGTCAGGGGCTCCAGGATGTCCCAATAAATATAATCCGTACCATCTTTGTACAGAGTATTGCTATGACCACTGGAGGGAAGGAACCCCAGAAAATAGGTAGGGGTGTTTTCTACAAATCGCTTGAAGTATGTCATCACGGTGTTCGTCATAAGTCAAAACTTTGTTTATTATTGAAGGCTGTCGGAATCCTATTTGCGCAAGCGCAAAAGAATGCTCGCCAAGTTTCCGCTTCCTGAACCATGGGTGGAGGTGTATGACGCTGGTGTAGCTAGACACTACTATTGGAATCAGGACACTGATGAGGTTTTTTAGCATTTTCTTGTTTTATGCTATTCTATCGTTTTTCCATGTTAGGTTTGTTGGGTATCTCCTCGACATCCTATAGCTGTTATTGGTGAAGCAGCACCACGAGTTGCGAAAGAGCTAAAGGAAAGAATGGAGGGTTCTACGGTGGTTGACTCCCATGTATGTGTGGTGATTCGTTGGTATACGCATTGATAGAGCTTCTTTTTTTTTTCAGGAAAAGAGATCGGATCACTCGAAACCTCTGAAGTCTGCTCTGTCGAAGAAGAAAAGAGTTTGTTCAAATGCTTGCTATCGTAATCCTAATGTACGTGTTCTTTTCAGCGAAATTCTGATGATTCTGATGGTCACCGAGACAGAGGAGAAGATAGTGACGATGATCCATCAAAACTCGAAGAAATGAGTGACCGAGACAGGCTAAGTATGCTTTTTTGGTCCCTTGTCTTTTTTGCTTTTCATTCCTTTGCTTGGGAATTTAATTTCATTAGCAATGATGATGTGATAGCATCTATCGTAATAATAATTTTGCAATTCCGCTAGCTTTCGACTTGATTTCATATGATCGGCTCCCAGATTTGTGTGGAGGCGGTTTCGGACTATTCCTGGTTATAAGGACAACTTGTTGAAGCTCCACGTTATATCATTGATTTTCATACTCTCTAGCTATCAAAAATCGGCACGCTTTGAGTTGAGACTCCGCCTTTACGCGAATCTGAGAGCCGATGTCATATGAAAAATTCTACAATTCTAGCTTTTCTGTTATTCGTATTCACACGCTTCCGCTTAACTCAGGCTTCAATTTCAGAACGTGCCAGACGAAAAGGTCTCGATCCTATGGATCCAGCAGCTTACGGAGATGTAGAAGTGTAAGTGTTCAGTCTACTCCATTTTGGGATTTCTCTTCGCACAGAATAGGTTGTTTTCAGTGGAAAATGGTCTTCTGGTCTACATGCACACGACAAGACGGGTGCAGACGTTACCGCTGGAGGACCTCTGTTCCAGCAACGACCATACCCAGCTCCAGGAGCAGTTTTGAGGCAACAAAAGAAGAAAGGATCCGATGACGAAGACTAGGCAGGCGCGACATTTTATCTCACTTTTTTTCAGTGCTAGCAGAGGTTTAGCGCTTCTATGCTAGCAGAGGTTTAGCGCTTCTAATTCTTTGCAAGTTAAAGAGCATTGCAAAAGTTTTCTCCTATTAACATACGAGTTTCTGCATGAGCGAAGTACTGGCTCCTTATCTTTGGCTGCACTCATGCGCTTGGTCTCTTGTTATCAGCATATGAACATCCTTTGCTCCACATTCTCTGATTTGAACGAATTTATCGCTTATTTGAAATTGAAAGTAACATATATCCAGTTTTCTGTTCCGAATGTCCAGTTCATCGTGATGTTATTTCCTGGTTTTGTCAAAACTTCCTTCATCAAATAATTAAGTCACAATGTCTTTTTTCTCAGTCAGCCATTTTTTCACTGATTCTCTATGGCTTTGTATTTTTGTTGGATTCTTATTGATGAAGCACCGGGCGACAATGTTTTTGCTAATAAATTATTGTGAGAGGAATTTGATAATCTGCGTGATGTTATCCAATGAGCACCAATTTCTCTAAAAATTTACTAGGTTTTCTAATCCATTTCTGAGCGTAAGCTTGCAAAGTTTTACCAGACTTATAGAAATGACTCTTACACAAATACTGCAAGTTGCTGCGAACAATATCTCTGAGGCACATAACGCTATAAACAGTCGTCTACGTAATGTTGATCCCTTATGGTTAGTACTTGGTACCATTGGTGGTACACTTGTGTATGTAAAAGTGGTTCGACTTTATCGGCGAAGTGAAGAACCTGTATTTAAACGGTTAGTTTTTCCTTAACTTTATTCATAATTTCATGTTTGCTTTGTTTTCCGTATATACTAGCAACTTTCATTTTCCTGCATTGCAGGCTGTCTGCCTATGCATTCTCGCAGTTTCGCCGTCTTCCCATGGTGAAGGCAAAGATCGAAAGCGAGCTAGCTGATGCAAAGAAGGAAATGCTTGAAACAGTACATAAAGATGACAGCGATAAAGTATTCATTACCGGTAGGTGAACATGGCTTATTTTTTATTGCCTGGTGTAATCTGGTGCTTCTGTTCAGAAATTCCCGAAGAGGGACTTCCAGCTGACTCGGTTCTCGAACTCGCCAAGAAATATGAATTGTATGGCAAATTTGCTATTAGCGAAGGTCGCGTATCTGGTGCAGTGTATACTGATAGATCAGCGGAACACATAGACCTGCTAACAAAGGTGATTTCCATTTTTGTTGAATTTATGGGTAACAATTATGTTCAGGTGTATAGTGCGTATGCCTATTCCAATCCGCTTCACCCTGATGTTTTTCCAGGGGCGCGAAAAATGGAAGCAGAAACTATCCGAATGGTATGTTATCTGTTCTACTTAGTACTCTTTTTAGATTCATCACTGTTTAGGTTCTCAATCTCTACAATGCTCCAGCGGAGAGTGCTGGAAGTCTCACAACTGGTGGTACGGAGTCTATAATTATGGCTTGTTTGGCTTACAGGAATAGGTGCTTTTCAAAAGTCTTTGTTCTTTTGTGAGTTTAATTTATATGTAGAGCCCATCAGCGTGGAATTGAATATCCAGTCATTGTTTGTCCTATAACGGCACATGCTGCATTTGACAAGGTTGGTGAGTTTTTGCTTTTTATTCTAACTCCTGATTTGGTCATTCCCATAGGCTGCTTTCCTAAGTGGTATGCGTGTTCGGCATGTTGAGGTGGATAAGGACAATCGAGTAAATGTGAGACTCATGGAACGGGCAATCGATTCCGATGTTTGCATGGTGAGTGTGACAGTTAGGTCAAGTACTCATAATTTGGAAAATATTCTCTCAGTCGCAATCCTTCAATTAGCTCCATTTCAGCTTGTCGCTTCGGCACCAAACTTCCCTTCTGGTAGTGTGGATCCAGTCCCGGAAGTAGCTCAGGTGAGTGTTCTGCTAAATATCGTGCTCATTTTCAACCCTACCCAGTTAGGAAAGAAGTATGGAATACCAGTACACGTTGACGCATGTCTTGGCGGTTTTCTCGTTCCATTCATGGGCGACTGTGGCTTCAACATCCCTGTATTCGACTTCCGCAATCCTGGAGTGACAAGCATAAGTTGTGACACTCACAAAGTAATTTCGACATTTTTGTAGTCTATCCACTTCGATCATTCATTTATCCTAGTATGGATGCACACCAAAAGGAAGTTCCATCATAATGTACAGATCTAAGGAACTACTGCACTATCAGTATTTCTCAGTTCCTGAATGGACTGGAGGCATCTACGCCACGCCAACAATATGTGGTAGTTCGGATTGCTTCATATGCATCTGCTTCATGTTTTTTTTAATCTTCAGGAAGCCGAGCTGGAGCGAACTCTGCAGTTGCTTGGGCAACACTTCTTTCTTTCGGTGTCAACGAGTATCGGAAGAGATGTAAGGCGATAGTTTCATGCACCAAGAAATTAGCAAAGGGTATTGAAAAGATCGAGGGTATAGAGGTAAGCAGTGCCCTCATCATGTGCTGAATAAAGCTTTTTGAGACTTGATGTGGCTATTTTTTCAGTTACATGGATCACCAGATGTGTCAGTCGTGGCCTTCAAGAGCTCACTATTCAATATCTATGCAGTTAGCGACAAAATGAACAAACGAGGATGGAACCTGAATACTCTACAAAATCCTAACGCGTGTGTTTGGTTGTTCGGGTTTTTCAATTTTCATCTTGTTGTTTGGGCTAGTAGGTTTGACAGTTCATAGTGCTCATGCAATTCTAACAGCGAATGCGCATGAACAAGCTGCCATGTTTTTGATATGGATGACTTGCGCTTGAAATTAGCCGTAGTGCAACATTCTGAAGTTTTGCGCAAATCTCTCCGGCAAATTTACGCGCAGATGTTGTCGACACCGTAGGGACATTATATGACGTTAATTCAGGCCTTCATAAACGGCTAATCATCAGCCATAGTACAATGTTTGACCCAACCATCAAATTTCTATGATTATTACCAGAATGCTTGATAATCTGACACAGAATGGCTCATATGAACTTCCATATTTCAAAACTCCCTTTTTTTAGGATTCACATCTGTCTTACTTACAACCATGCTAATGATAAAGTTGTTGAAGCGTTTCTAGAAGAGCTTGCAAGCGTTGTTGCTGAAGTTAGCGCTAGCTCGGATAAAGGATGCAAGAGTAGTACTGTAAGTCATGTTCTAATTACCTCCTATTTTTTAGCGGCTGCATTATAGGCAGCTCTGTATGGCATGGCGGCACAGATCCCTGACAAGACTCTAGTGGATGAAATGGCATTTGAATTTCTCGATGCTTGTTATGCAAAACCTCCAAAACACTGACTTCTCAGTGCTCACTAAATTGTCAAGTATCATATCTCATCGTACAAATATATTTATGTTCGTCCCTATGTTCGTCTCACCGTCTGTTACCTCACAGAATTTTATTATCTTTTTTCTATGCACGTACTTACAATCGAACATCATCATTATTATGCTCATCGAGTTTGCACGTTTCGTCTTTGTCAAAAAAGTCCAAGCGGTACTGATTATGCTACGTGCCAAAGAAAAGTTCACTTTCCATGTTTCCAGATTTAAGCACGTTATCTCTTCTTTTTATAAATTTTAACGCTACTGGTCACGTGCCTTGTTAGAACGAATCACTTGTGAACAAGCTGCGGTAAATCCGTAATTATTTCTGTAACTGAACACAGTTTAATTGCGGTTATAGAATGAGTGCAGTTAGTGTCATAGGAGTCAAGTTCATAAGTAAAGAAGAGTCTGTCCTTCCCTTTACACACATACATGAACCACCCCTGTTTTCTCCCACTTTTCCCTTTACACACGTACATGAACCACCCCTGTTTCCTCCCACTTTCAAAAGCTCGTAGTTTACATATTGGAAGGACTATCAGCCGGCATTGAAATTTGTTTTGGCTTGTCTGGCACCTTACCGAAGTTAAGCATGGTGAGATTCATATGCTGTATGGTAGCATAGTCCTTCACCTAAGCCGGGAATGGTCAGAAATTAACCCAGCCATACCAAACATGCTGTATATCATCGGACTCGTCTTGAAACGCCGATCACAAGTAAATGTTGACTATCTACCAAGCAGCTATCTGGGAGGAGTTAAGAGCGTTCAAATGTGCGATTTGTCAAGTGTTCTTTGGCGCATGTTCCACGAAATAGGTTCCAAAAAACTTACTTAGGTTTTTGGTAAATGTGCTTCTTCTTTGTAATCAAAATAACCATAGCCACTGTAAATCCACGCCATCAGGCTGCCTTTAAAGAAAATATTAGGTTGTCCCGAAAATTCTGTCGGTTTTTTCAAACCACTGTAAAACCACGCACTATAAAACCTGAGTGTGTTTCAAAATGCATTCGATGCAGCATTTCCTTCTCTTTCTTATGGTTACGTTTTCATACCATAATCTTGTACTCTTTTTTTGATAATTGCCAAATCTCCATCTGTCAATTTTACCTGCTCAAAGTTAGGCTGATTTTCAAAAAATTTCATTCCAAAATTCCGAAAAGGGTAAAGTATGAATCAAATAGAGCAGTTCTCGGACTACAAGCTAGTGTTTTTAGATTCTCCTAATCTGCTGTTTTTAGCTTCATAAATTTATTTCTCCAGAGGTCTCAATTTTTGGCAAAGTCATGAAACATGCAACTGCATCAAACACACGAAAGCTTTTGAATTTTTGCGTATTGGAACATGATTCTTACTAAACATTATTTATGCAACATAACCAACTTTAATTCGCTTTGAAAAGCAGCTATTTAGAATTTTTAGTACTTTTACGTGTTAAACTTGATCAAAAAGCCGCGGTTTTTATTGAATAAATAATTATAACAGACTTGGTAAACGCGGCCCACGTAATCTAAAATGGTTACAATGTAGCCAAAGATCTGCTTTACATAACAGTTATCAGCGCTCTTTGGAAACATCAGAATAAAGAATTCTAAAATTCACGAAATATTTGGCCTTGCTGTCAAGCTGATTAATGATCCATGGCAATAACATCGCAAACAGCATAAATCACAGAGGAAAAGTAGCTGTGAGAAAGAGGATAAAAATCTGATTTGAACGGCACCTAAGCCGTCCATGGATTGGTGTTCTGTAACTTTTAATGAGCGATGAAAGAAACCGACAAAACTTTTGGGACAACCTAATATTCGTCGAAACTTGATGAACTTCTCATATTTGAAAGCTCATAACACCTCCCAGATAGTCGCTTGGCAGATAAAAACATATATTTACAACCAGCGTTTTAAGACGAGTCCGATGGTATACAGCTTGTTTGGAATGGCTGGGTTAAGTTCTGGCCATTTTCTCGTAAGTATCTAATTACTTAAGGACGATAATACTCAAGCACCACTGTAAAAAGTTGAAACATTTCCACCATAAGTGTAAGGTTGGTAACAAATGTAAGCCTTTGGGCTTTTACAATCAGTCGCAGACCTAACAGAAATCATATAGAGAACCTCTTCACATTATTTTTGGCTGATCCGGTAGCCAAGTGAGGCTTAGAAAATCTCAAGTATTCAGGAAAAGACTCGTTGAAGTGGAGCACATAGGCGCGAGCTGTCTGGTATATCATTTTTAGAATTGCGTTTTCATGAGTAGTTAGAAAACCTACCAGAGGCGTACCTGCTACGAACCTTTTTTTTCAAAGCCGGAGTCATAGTCCGGTACAATGTGGAAAGTCCCACGTTTGAATTCATTCGAAGAATTTTTCAGTCCCTCTTCCCATAAAATTTCTCGGTCCGCCTGTGCTTTCGATATAGACTTGCACGACCCAAAAAAATTATTTACTGGTAAAAAAAGTTGTCAATGGTGAATTTGAACATTAAAGCATTGTACTATAATTGAACAACTATAACATTATACAGTGCTGGCCAAAAGTTTACAGCCACTCCAGAATTTTGCTATATCTTACTCTGTTTCGTATACAACGATTCCAAACCATGATATTACGTGCATTTCACACTACTTAACACTATGTCAAGAAATTTTGCAGTTACATGCACACCGAAGGGGTCTTTGGGGGAAATGGTGAAAACGGCTGAATTGAGGCTGGCCAAAACTTGCAGCCACTTTCTTCTAAATGTCTTTAAAAAACTTGTCACAACTTGTCACTTTCAAGTATGTGGGCTACAGATGCACCAATAAACCTTGAGATATGCAGTGCAGCCGGCTTTCATCAAACTCCCAAAAAGGGAACTTTACGGAGCAAAGTTGCTTGAGCGCAAATTGACCGCAAAAATTGATTAAATCATGAGGTTATTGAGAAGTTGTCGGCTGATCCATGCTCCTATGAAAAGGTTGTACCATCTGGACGTTTAGTGGCGGTTTGCGAATGTGACAGAAAAGGCATTACTTGGCATGTTTCAAAAACTACCATCACCTTACAAGGGAATGGTCAGAAGTCGAAGTGGCCAAACCAAACAAGCTGTATATTATTCGATGCAGTATAGAACGCTGACTTCGAACCTGTCTTCCTTATCTGCTTCCCGCTTCTGTGGACGAAGCTACAAGCGGTTTTATTGTAAAAAAAATCATACATAAAAACAGGGAGATTAAGCACATTGTTGCACTTTTAGCTCGGCTTCTGGCTTCAAAAATTTCAAGTAAGCTAGCTGCATGTTTTGGCCCAGCATTGAGGCAAACAAGGCTCTGTACGGCTAAATTTTCAATTTCACGCATAATTTCTAAGTAAAATAATGGTCGTTAATGGCTTATAACTTCGTCCAGAAAAGCGATAAGCAGATAAGGAAGACAGATCTAGAGTCAGCGCTTCATGCTGCATCTAACGCTACGCAGCTTGTCTGGAATGGCCATTTCGATTTCTGACCATTCCCTTGTTAACTCAGATTCGGAGCATCTTTCGGCTCAAAAATTGGGCTCAGCGGTCTGAGAAGTTCTCAAACTTGACTAACACATTGCTTTGAGAAAGACGAGTATTGGTCCGGAGCTCGAAGAATTCTATTGGAAATATGGAGGCGCTACTGTCAGAGAAAAGTTTTTGCAATTATCACACCTAGGAAATGTTTGATTTGCCAAAGGGATTAATCAGCTGAAGATTGTGCAAATTTTTTTACTGGCAGTAGCGCCTCCATATTTCCAATAGAATTCTTCGAGCTCCGGACCAATATTCGTCTTTCTAAAAGCAATGTTCTAGTCAAGTTTGAGAACTTCTCAGACCACTGAGCCCAATTTTTGAGCCGAAAGGTGCTCCGAATCTGAGTTAAGGTGATGGTAGTTTTTGAAACATGCCAAGTAATGCCTTTTCTGTCACATTCGCAAACCGCCACTAAACGTCCAGATGGTACAACCTTTTCATAGGAGCATGGATCAGCAGACAACTTCTCAATAACCTCATGATTTAATCAATTTTTGCGGTCAATTTGCGCTCAAGCAACTTTGCTCCGTTAAGTTTCCTTTTTGGGAGTTTGATAAAAGCCGCTGCACTGCATATCTCAAGGTTTTATTGGTGCATCTGTAGCCCACATACTGGAAAGTGACAAGTTGTGACAAGTTTTTTAAAGACATTTAGAAGAAAGTGGCTGCAAGTTTTGGCCAACCTCAATTCAGCCGTTTTCACCATTTCTCCCAAAGACCCCTTCGGTGTGCATGTAACTGCAAAATTCCTTGACATAGTGTTAAGTAGTGTGAAATGCACGTAATATCATAATTTGGAATCGTTCTATACGAAACAGAGTAAGATATAGCAAAATTCTGGAGTGGCTGCAAACTTTTGGCCAGCACTGTAGCATTGTATATGCAGTATGTTACGGTTGCGACCGAGTCGAGTTCAGCTGCTGCTCAGGCATTACTCTGCTAAGCTGGAAAATCCAGCTGAACCCAAGTTTAGCCAGTCAGCTGCATTTCAGGTGAATAACATAGGCTAGAGCTAACGTTTGGTTGCTTTCACATTCATGCTCACCCAATTTTAGGGGCGGAGGCGAGGTGCTGGAGTACCACCAACACCTTTCAAGCTGGATTACTATGACAGCGATGAATTTTCGAAGAAGAAATTACTTTCGATTGCCGGAAGCCTTGCTGCATTTATTCTATACTTTGGATACCTAAGGAAAGCAATAACAATATTTTTTGCTTCACGGTGAAGAACATGTTTTAGGGAGCCATCGGATCTCGATGAGATTTGGAATACTCCCCCACATATACTCACAGCTAATTTGGAGAGGAAGATGCTTCGGGATCAGATCAGAGAGGTGCTTGATTCCACCACCTTGTTGATTATTCTGATAGATTTTTTATAGGCTGAGGCTAAAGGCCAAGATACAGCGCTGTTGAAAGCACAACTGGATTATGTTGATGTCAAAGAAGAGGCCCTACGAATACAGTTTGGAAATAAGGAGAAGAAGAAAAAAGCATCGTAATTTGTATATTTGATGGGAATATCAAATTTGCATAAGTCATAGCTTCTACCTTTGCTTCTCAGGTTTTATCATTTAATAATTGCTTCGTTTGTGATTAGTATGGAAGTTTTATCCTCTTACATATAGATAGGTTTTACAATGCCGACGTGCTCTTGTAAATAAAGCAGTACGAGCTTCTATAAACGTTGGCCCTTCATGTATATTCTCGAACATTGATTTTTGAATTTCTCAAATTTCTAGTGAAAGTAATTCAAGCCCAAAGCCTTCCTTTGTGCCGAGTATGTGCAGATCTTACTGGTAAATCAGATTTCTTCGTTACATACTCTACGCATTTGGAGATGATGTTCTTTGGAACAACACAATTCAGAGCATTTAGAATAATACTTTCTGCTACTTCTACAAAGGTATAGGGCATCCGAAAAATCGTGACGATGGCGCAACCGCGCGCGACACGCGCGCAGCTTCCGGTAACCGCATTTTCTTGGTTTTAATCTTTACTCGACTGGTTTTTCTGCTTAGGTATGATAGTACTTGAACATGAAAGTGACTGAGCTGAGCGTTGAGGTGATGCCTTTTTGTAATGGGGTGTTATGCTCCTGTGGGCGCAAAGGCCGCAGTCAAATCCGTCGTCACGACTTTGTAAAAATGAACCTTAGCCTCCATTCTCAGTGTGCGGAAACCATGTCACTTTATGAAGCTAATGGCGCTACTCGGCATCCGTGCCTTAAAAACATGGTTTCTCCTCAACCTCGTCGTTATGGTTCTAAGCGAGTTCAACATGTGATCCATCTACCGTACCCAAAGCTACTCAAAACATGAACGACTCGTCTGAAGACCCATTTGGAGACTTCGCAGCGGAGGAAATTCAATGGCGACACACCCTATTACTTCATCGGAACTTTTGGCGCGCTTTTTTTACTCCTGCCAAGCAGAGATATTTGCAGAGTAAAGGAAGTGATGGTAGCACGTCGCGCTCAGGCCTCGGACAGAGTTCACGCGATTTGATCGTCGCGATTCAATCGCCGCGATTTCCGTTCATTTTCATTTTACATTCATAAATTTCGGGCTGGAAAAGTATCACAACCGAAATGCAAGCTGGTCGGCATGCATGAACTCGTAACAGTTGTCTTGTCGCGATTGAATCGCGACGATCAAATTGCGTGAACTCTGCCCGAGGCTTCAACAGGAAATTCCAGCGGCTATGCAATGCTTTGGCCGTAATTGCGGTTGCCGTCAGCTGAAACGCGCTTTCGAATTTATTTTTTAACAGCTTTTAGCTTACGCTTTCCAGGGATCGTTCGCTAACTTCTTCCGTTTGATAATATGTCAGGTGCAGTTCGTTGGTTTCATGCTTTTTGCCATATGCTGAACTTCTGTGTTTGTCGAGAAGCAATGCTTGGGCATTTCTTACTGCTTATTTTCTTACTGATTATGCTGTCTCTCCGTATTTCATCTTTATACAAGGACATTCATTTATATTTTTTTCGGATTCCAGCTATGGGGAAGGAATCTCGTTCAGATCGAGAAAGGGAGCGAGAGCGAGAACGTCGCGAAAGGGAACGGCGCGAGAGAAGGAGGTCGAAATCCAGAGAACGAAGACGTAGTAGAAGCAGAAGTCGAAGCAGGAGCAGGTGGATATGTCTGAGCATCAATTTGTTTTCACCTTTTTCTTCGTGGGACTTCGTATCATTCTTATGATTTATCTTTAGATCACCCCGCCGTGATAAAGACAGGAAACGTAGCGACAAATATAAGGACAAGGAAAAGGAGAAAAAGAAGGATGAAGTTGAAAAGAAAAAGCAGGAGAAGGATATCACTGCCATTGTGGAAATGGATAAGGTTAGCGAAAGCTAATATCAAACTTCATGTACATGCATGTACTATTTATCTTCAAGAATGAGGCAGGCAGTGAACTAGAGCGTATCATGGAAGAACGACGAAGAAAAGTGGAAATATGGCGTGCTCGACGCAATAAAGCGGCGAATGCAGCTGAGCAAGCTGAGAAGGAAGAGGTGATTATCGCTTCGATTCTTTGCAGCTTCGAATGTAACAAACTCTAGGCAAACGGAGGTGAAAAAACAGAGAAAAAATGGACTCTCGAAGATGACGATGATGACGAATTGGAAGATCTTGGAATTAATCTGAAAGAAGAGATCAAGGAAGAAAAAGTTGAGGAGAAGAAGTGCGTGCCTGATGTCGTTCTAAAAATAATATTCAGAGTTGCCCAAATTTTCGTTTTTTTGCAGACCGGCTCCAACAGAAGAAGATGAAGAGGATCCTCTGGATGCTTTTATGGATGGAATAAAGAAAGATTTGCAAAAAGCCCGACCAGCGGTGGTGAGTACTTTTCCCACATATCTCTCAAGTTCCTATAATTATTTTTCAGGGTGGTGTGCGAGTTGTAACTATAAATGCATCAAAAGAGAAAGACAAAGGACTTGTTCTTGAGAATGAGGACAGATCAGATTTTGTCGTAGAAGATATCGACATGGAACAGGTAAAATTCTAGTAACTAATTTGAGTGCTCAATATTCTCCATCTACTCAGGCCGCTGCGAGTCTTTGTCATAAAGGTCGAATGTTACCGGTAACGGATCACTCCAAGGTGTATTACAGGCCTTTCCGCAAAGATTTTTATGTGGAGGTAAGACTGTTTCCGATGTCGTTCTTTGATAACACTATGTAAGTGGTTGCTTTTCCTTTGATTAGCCACATTTCTTTTCGATTCCGACGTATTTTGGAGTCATGCTATCTATTTGTCTCATTAAAATATTCGCAGTCTGACATAGTCATTTTCAACAAAGACTAGTTAGCTATAGTTGTTTGAACTTTCTGAAATATTGTAAAAGGTATCTGAATCCATGTTGGAATGTAAGGTCCAGATAATCGACCATGGCGCTACTTTCCCGTACTCTCTTAGAAATCGTCAGCAGTTTGATACTCTCTGCTTTTCTTCTAACTGTCGTAAGCTCATCAGTTAAGTTAATCTTAAAATTTAGCAGCTGTCTACCTTGTTTTCTTCCAAGGGTATAATTTCGTATTCTAAATGCCTCAAATATTATCATGATCTATACGTATAATCTGTTTAGACACCTGAAATTGCCAAAATGACAAAAGCTGAAGTTCGCGCTTATAGAGAAGAGTTGGACGGTATCGAAGTTAAAGGAAACAAATGTCCGAAGCCAATAAAGACGTGGGCGCAGTGCGGTGTCGAATTTAAGATACTGCAGCAGCTGAAGAAGTAAGTGTTTGTCTTTCATTTTTTCTTCATCTCTTTATTTTTCTGTTGAGTGTAAAGGAATGTTATGATTTTAGGCACAACTACGCTAAACCTACGCCGATCCAAGCACAAGCAATTCCTTGCATTATGGCCGGACGTGATCTAATTGGTATCGCAAAGACAGGATCAGGAAAAACGCTTGCTTTTCTGTTACCAATGTTTCGACACATTCTTGATCAACCTGAGTTGGAGGAACTAGATGGACCTATCGGTAAGGTCTTTAGCTTTTGCACCTATTGATTAATCCTGATTTTCTTTCTTTTTCTAGCGCTTATCATGTCTCCCACTCGAGAACTTGCCATGCAGACTTGGAAAGAAGCGAATAAGTTTGCCAAAGTTAGTTCATTGCGTTTTCAATTGTTTTGTTGGCACTATGATTTTTGTGCATCAGGATCGCGTATCTAGTTAATTTTTACTGTAGTCTATCATATTAGGTTCTCGACATTCGCGTTGTTTGCGTGTACGGTGGTGTAGGCATATCGGAGCAGATTGCTGATCTGAAGCGTGGGGCTGAGGTGATTGTTTGTACACCAGGAAGAATGATCGACATGCTTGCAGCAAATAGCGGTGAGTTGGCCAGGTACACACTAATGATATTTTGCAATTTTCATATTTAAGGAAAAGTTACAAACTTACGTCGTGTCACTTATCTGGTGTTAGATGAAGCAGATAGAATGTTTGATATGGGTTTCGAACCACAGGTAAAGATCCCAAATATTTCTCTGTTCTCAAAATAGAAGTGTTGTAGGTAATGAAAATTATCAATAACATTCGTCCGGATAGACAAACAGTACTGTTTTCCGCGACTTTCCCTCGTCAAATGGAAGCGCTAGCAAGGAAGATTCTTGAAAAGCCTATTGAAATTCTGGTTAGTTGTTGATATGATAGTTTTCATGCCAACATGTATTCTTCTTCTTGTTAGGTCGGTGGCAAAAGTGTGGTCTGTGCTGACATTACTCAAAACGCTGTGATCTGTGAGGAGCATCAAAAGTTATTGAAACTGTTGGAACTTCTTGGCATTTATTATGAGCAAGGAAACGTGCTTGTCTTTGTCGACAAACAAGAGAAGGTGAGAGGGGTTTTTTTTCACTCGTTGGAGCATTTGTATTACTTTGGCCTTTCACTTCTCAATTAAGTAATACAGCTGACGAGATTTTTTTGAAACGGTTGATTGTGGCGGTGGTGTATGGCGGTGTTTTTTTCACTGATTTATCCATTTATTCAACGAGTGCAAAAACGCTACTGACGAGGAAGAGTTTCCAAGTCAGCTCGGCCAACCCGGATGAGTCATATATCGCCGTAACGGGCTTGAAACGCGGATTCCAAATCTGCTTTCCATTTCTGCGGAGCGACCTTCCGAGAGAAGTTATGAGCGTTTGAATGTCTAAATTTGTCATGTTTTAAGTGGCTCAAAATTGGCGAAATCTGTACAATAACGCATGAAAGTGATTTATCACTTTTGTATCAAGTATATTGATTACAAGAACGGAACAGAGATAATGAAATTCATTAGGTGTTGTTTTACTTTCAACTGATTTTAAGCCACTTTGAACATGACAAATTAAGACATTTAAACGCTGATAACTTCCCTCGGAAAGCTGCTACGCAGAAAAGGAAAGCAGATTTGGAATCAGCGTTTCAAGCCCGTTACCGTGATTTATGACTCATCTGGGTTGGCCGAGCTGACTTGGGAACTTTCCCTTGTGAGATGACTAATACAAAGAACAGTAGTGCATCATTTGATTTTATCTTTTTTAAGGCTGATGATATTGTTGCCCAGTTAATGCGTAATGGGTACTCTTGTGCACCCCTACATGGAGGAATTGATCAATTTGACAGAGATTCCACGATCACCGATTTTAAAACTGGTCAAATAAAGATATTGGTGAGTTTTTAGTTAGTTGTGCTCTTTCTTCCATTTGCACTTCCCTAGTTTCCAGGTTGCCACTTCTGTCGCCGCACGTGGTTTAGATGTTAAAAACCTCATATTAGTCGTGAACTACGATTGTCCTAATCACTACGAAGATTATGTGCACAGGGTGAGTAACGCATAGACATGTTTATTTATAGAGAAGTTATTTTGAAGTTAAGGTTGGGAGAACTGGACGAGCTGGCAACAAAGGATACGCCTACACTTTCATTCTTCCCGAGCGTAAGTTTGTAATACTTTTCGTTGTTTTTTTTTCTCATGCTATGCTATCTTTTCTTTTGGCTGTATGGATTTCCAGCGAATACGAAAGATACTATCTGACCATAATTTGATTTATGACTTTTTGTGGCCTCTTTTCGAGCTTACATGCGTTGGAAGGTAGCAATTTGACCTCCCAAACGTGCAAATGTTGCTGTAGATGTTCTGTGATGCCTTGTGTTGAAGTGCTGTACACTTGAAGAGGACCAATTCATATTTTTATTACAGATCAAGAGCGCATGGCTGGCGAAGTTTGCCGAGCGTTCGAAACTGCTGGTGCTAAACCTCCAGCCGATCTCAAGGCTATGTTTGAGAAATTCAAAGCGGAGATGGCTGCTCAAGGGAAAGAAGTTCATCTGGGAGGAAAAGGGTTTGGTTTACAGTCGGATTTGACAGTTAATGAGAATGGTATGTTGTTTAAGCTTTGCTGGAAGTGGCTACAAATACGATGAGGATGAGGCAGAAGCAGATGCTACGAAGAAGAAGATGACACGTCTGGTTTGTTAATTTCACTTTTTTTGACTCCAAATTTTTTTTTCAAGGAAAAATCCAGTTTTGCTCTTGCATGTATTGGTGGTTGTTGTCTAGAGCATATTTTGGAAATTCTTACGACTAGCTGGTTCTAGGGAATATTATGAACATTATCTAATCTGTTGTGTTTAGGTTTGCGGTATGGAGCATGGTGCCGATGACGATGATGAGTTGGATGAGCAGCTTACAATGATGATCAAATCAAAACGAAGAGTGGTGGAGGGGCAATATGGTGCAAACGGTAAAAAGCATTCTGATGTAGAGGATAAGGTAAGCCCGTGATATCAAATGAGTAGCAATAAAATTATTGGTTTAGGTGGCCAAGGCAAAAGCGATGGCGGAGAAGTTAGCAACTCTGAGAAACCTCAACGCACCGGCTGAGAAGGATGCAGCACAAAAGGCAGCTGAAGCTATCATGAAGGTTAGCTGTATACGTCAACATTTATACCTTGAATTCGCCAGTGTTTAGGGAGGTGACATCGCACCTATTGAAATGACTTCAAAGATGATTGCAAAGCAACTGGCAGATAAGCTGAATGAAAAACTTAATTATCTGGGAGGTTTGTCCTCGTTGTATCCAATTATCCTTGTCAGCATGTCGCAAATCTACGCGTATAAGCTCTTGAGTATTTTTCCATATCAAAAAAAAACTTTGAAGTTGGATCACTAGCGCTGTCTTCACGCAATCAAAATACATACATACATACAGGTGAGGCTTTACCGACGACTAGCCAGGAGGAAGAATGGCAATACTTTGAGGAGGAACTTGACATCAACGACTTCCCGCAGCAAGTACGATACCGTGTTTGCAGTAGGGTGAGCTATTCTACTCTTCTTTTTTTGGTTCAATGGAGCCAGAAAAGAAACTTTAATGCGTTTAATCTCTTTCGAATTGAACGAATGGGCCCTTAAAGTGATTTTCATATCAATCAGCGTCTAAATGTTTGTTCCCAAGGCGGGCATAAGGACTGCTAGGCGTGCAAATAATGAGCAACGGAAATGTTTTGATGTGGATTGTCATCTTTAAATCGTGGTGTTGTTGCAATTGTTGCATACCGCCCCAGGGGCGGTATGCAACAATCGCCCGTCCGGGGTAAGTTACCCGGACAGGTAGTTTCCGCTTCATAGTTCGGTGCTCTGTGTCTTTCCTTGTTTGTTCATCTACTGGGGCTCTACTACCCTAATATTGTAGCACAACGATTAGCAGCACTTTGCTGTATAAGCTGAGATGATTCGTTATTTGTATGATTCCGAATGGGATCTCCCACTGATCACGCTCATTTTCAAAGTTATTTATATCCGCAAAAACTCAATGCAAACGTCACAGAGTTTTGCTGTCCATTTATTACGACAGTGCTACGCATGTTTGTGAAAGAAATAAGTGAAAAATCAAGTTGACAAAATCTTCGCTGAACCCGTGCTCGCGAATTGGGCTCTATCGAAATGCTCAAAACTTGCACATTTCATCAGTGCTACTAAAAACATGCCTAGCCATGTCGTAATAGGTCGACAGCAAAACTCTGTGACGTCTTCATTGAGTTTTGGCGGATAAAAATAATTTTGAAAATGAGCGTGATCAGTGGGAGATCCTGTTCGGGATCATACAAATAACGAATTATCTCAGCTTATACAGCAAAGTGCTGCTAGTCATTGCGCTATACTATTAGGTTAGTAGAGCCTCCAATAGATGAACAAACAAGGAAGAACACAGATTCCCAGAGCACCGAGCTATGAATGACGTATCAATTTCTAGGAGTCATTAGGCCATATCTCTGAATTTGCTGATGTTGGCATTTCGGTGAAAGGCTCACATTATCCGCCAGGAAAGGAGCCAAAAGATGGAGAAAGAAAGCTGTATTTATTGCTGGAAGCTCGACATGAAAGGAATTTAAAATGTGCAAAGGAAGAAATTGTCCGGATAATGAAAGAAGCATTCCGACAATTGGTATGTGCCATTTGATCCTCATTGTTTTTCTAAAAGTCATTATATTTTTACAGACAGCCCAGATGCAGCGTGGTGGACCAACCGGCCGGTACAAAGTGTTTTAAAGGAATTACGATATTCGGAAAGTCTTTTATATCGTCTGTCATATTGTGCTTGTGAAATAAATATCAAATTTTTTTACGTAATTCCACAATTCTGAACAATTTTTTCCGAGTTTTTTAATGTCTCAATAGATGACTCAAGTTTTTGCGTGTGGGCTGATTACGGTGAGAACATAAGCATACATCGGCCTCGCATTAGAAGTGTTGTCCGCGAGTATTGATCGCTGGCAATGGTTGGTGTAATGCTCCCATCCCACACAGCTGAACAGCTGTCCCCTCGATGCCTTCTTCAGTCTTTTCGTCCTATTTATGAACTACTATTTTCTGTGCAAGAATTTCTTATATCTTAATGCAAATGATCAAATGTTTATTGATAACTTCTGCTCGATTTTCAGCGGTTGCCTCACTATTGTTTATTTAGCGTCTCTCTGAAATCTGTATAAGGAAATTGAATTCTTGGTGGCGACCTTTTGCTTCCAAATATGTTGCACTTTCGGGGTATTTTCGCGCAGAAAACGTACGAAAAGCAAACAACAAATGCTGAGCAATTACCTGATCCAATTTTCCGAGCAAAGCAACAGATTAGGACATAATAGTCTTGTTATTAGCTGATTTCACTTTTTTCTAAGTGTAAATGCAAAGATATGGGCGGCTAATACCTGTCAGAAAGTACAAATATAAATATTAAGTATATTTTCTGTCATGCAGTTTGAATGTACGTTTTTCCAATGGATTAATATTATGTTTATTGTTAGGAAGCACTCCTTTTCGCCTTGTCGTGATAGGAAAACGTCCTTTTATTCCTTAATTTACATCAGTCCCACTCTCCTGATCTTTTAGTACTCTTGAAGGTGTGGGAAGAAAAAGTTGATGAATTTTTCGCCTGCATTTGGCATTAAAGTGTTTTTTTTTTTTGAAAATATAGTTTGAAGTCACTTTCCTTTGGATGTGAAGTGAGGTCCCAATATATCGGTGGGCCAGCTTCGGAGAGGGTTTGCGTCGCTATTGTTGGTAGTCTCGGATGCAATTACATATCTGCGTGCTGATGTCAAATTTCTCGAAAACATCCCTCAATTCAATCAAAGGATTGCAGTTAACTCCTCACTGAAAACGAACATCGTCTGCCTTGAGATCAAGAACTTCCAAGTGTATGCAAATATTAGGTTGTCCCATAAGTCTTTTCATCTTTGTACCTTCAAAATGATTTTTCTCAAAAAGTAAGGTATCTACGAGGGTGCAAATTGATGGGAGCATTTCTGAGTGAATAAGCTGTATAATCACATATTTGCGAGGAGCTTAGACCCGTTACAGACAAAGTTTGAAAATCAATCACATTATTTTTTTCTCGATTTCTAGCCATGAAAAAATGCAGCAAGTATTTATATAAATGTCTGATCGGGAGATTATGAGCATGAGCAAGTGAGAATTTCACGAAACGTTTTTTAACTGAGATAGGATTATTTTTGTTTTTTCGGGCATCTGAATTTTTTTCCATTCTGTGAAACTCGCTGCAGATGAAGCCTGATACGAACTTTTGAAAGCCATATTCTACAACTCGCTTTGATCTTTCGAATGGTGCCCCGCAACCCATTAGAAGTCTAAGAAGAGCAGACTTATGCTGGTACAATGTCAGATATGAAAAGACTTATGGAACAACCCAGTATTTCTCCACGAAATTTCATAGGACAGACATCAATAAGAGCGTTTATCATATGTGACAGTCCCATTGATGAAGAAACGAAATATTTTTGGGCGAAAATGAGGTGCGGTTTCAAACGCGAGTAATATGTCTGCGAATTTGTAAGACATGGCAAGCAGTGTTAGTACATCAGTATCTCAGAGCTAAAGTTACATAGAGGCCATTACAGTGTACAAACTTAAGTTATGGGGAGAACTTAGTCGCACAAATTGAATTGAACAGACAACGTCAACTTGTAACATTGATAGTGCTTTCCGTTTCGGTAATTGCGCAAGAATTTGAAGCCCAAAGAACGTCTTGCACAAAATAAATTGCCTCATCTGAAAATTCTATATCAAGCTGTTTTGTGTGGAACAGCTTTTTTCCGACGAATATCTCTTCTGTCAAGCCATTTTACAAAATCACATTCATGTGGCAGTATATTTTACCTAATCTCCTTAGGCTTCGTGCGTATCTAAACTCCAGGAAATCTCTTTATTCCAAGCTTGTTCTTTATAATGTTGTCTTACTTTAAATGTGAATTGAATGCATTAAATTCCCATTGTTTCTCGCAGGTGATGTCGTCTGCTATGAGGCGAACACCCGGTCCAACAGATACGATGAGAAGCAGAAAAGTAAGAGCAAATTCTCAATCAGTGTGCCGAAATATCTATTTTCTTAGAAATTATATGGTCTTGCAAAGTGTTGGCTCATCACTGAACTTCCAGAGCGACTCCATAGTTGATAAACTAACTGGGACATTGACTCGAAAGAAGAAAACGCATGAAAATCCTGAACCCACCGAAGAAGATGAAGCTCTTGAGGTGACAGCTGCGCCCTGAATTCATCTTAAAATTTATTTATTTATTTATTTATCAAATACATCGTAAACGATGCACCACCTCAAAATTGAATTACAAACAGACGGCTAAATATGGAACGGGTGGGAGAAAAAGGCAAGAATGACTTCAAATTTTCTCTCACTTTCGAGTCGTATCCAACTGACAAATCTAGTAGAGTTCTTATATGATTACGGGAAAATGGTAAAGCTCATGGGCTGCCAATAAAGGCCAACGTTGTTATAAATGTGATTTCTGGGACCGGATATGTTCGAAGATGATGTAGGTAAATAATGTAGAGGCGATGGCGTTGAGAATCAGGACTTAAAAAGTATGAGTAGATTTCTTATACATTATCGGGAGTTTTGAACATATGCACACCGACCAGCGAAAGTAGTATATATTGCGCTCAAAATACGAAGCGTTATGAAGTACTACTTGTGGCAGGTCATTTTCGGTACATGGTGCACCAGTCCATCCATTTATCCATCCATCAAATTGTCCAGATCGATCCATCCATCCATATGCATACATACATACATACATACACGTGTCCGTTGATTCCTTCGCTAACTCCGTATTTGAGTAACGAAATGTTGATTGATGTGCGAGCTCAAAGCTACCAATAATGTACGTTGTGTTATACGGATGAAATATATAGAAAATCGGCTAGCAGGGTTCTTAAATACAATCGTGGGTAAGTAACAGTTTCGTTGTTATCGGTAAGTGGGAGATTTTCTTGAACTGTGTATCTGAAAGCAGAGCAGTAAGGATCGATGAGTACAGGAAAAAGGATACGATATGAAAGTCGATGCACATGAAGAACTAACACTTGCATTTCGTCTCCCAGTACATGCTTTGAAGAATATAGCAGTAAGGGAAGGTAGTCATAAGAAGACAGAAAATTCAGCAGAGAAATTAAACACAATCTGAGCTAAATTTGTCAAGGTAATTATGTTCGATTAGGAATTTCCTTAATTTATGTGGATCCAATGTTATTAGTTCTATAGGAAGTTTATTTAGTATGTACACATGCGGGCACCAAATGAATTCTGTAGGCTACGTTTTCGCCATCCTTTGGAATAATGTGTGTATGCGTTAATTCTAAAATGACGGATACTAGTGGGACGTAAAATACAGAATTCCGAAAATCTTAAACGAGTTTCAGATTTAAAAATCTTATAAGCTAGTAATATGTCAGCTAATAATCTTCTGTGATATAAACTTTTGAGTCCAAGCATGGTTAGTCTAGTTTTATAATCAGGAAGAGCCGTAGGGTAATCAGGATTTGGGAATATTCGGTAGAATAAGATTCTAGTGAATGTACGTTGTACTTTTTCCAGTTTTTCGATCAGATTTTTGACGTTAGGATTCCAAACTGGACTCCAATATTCTAATACAGGAAGTACGTAAGCTTTCCAGAGTTTCAGCCAAATGTTGATATCATGAACATGTACGTTTCTTAGTAAGGTGTACATTATGCGGTTGGCCTTGCAAACAATATTATCAATATGTAATGAAAATTTGAAAGAGGAATCTATAACCACTCCGAGGTCAAAAAAAAGATGAAAAAAATGAAAATGTGATCACCATAGACCAAGTTCAGGTCGAAATCGAAGGTAGAGAGTCCATTGATGCATGCCTGGTTCCAGCACTAGCTAAGAATTTGACACTTGATGAAGGTAGGACTTTCCACATTTTTTGCTAAAAACTAATTGAAGCATACCTTTATAGGGGAAATCCGACGCTATTTGACGAAAGAATCTAGCGAAGATCGTAAAGTACGCGAGCTTATCTCGCTCCTTGTCTACTGGATTAATGATGAGCTGGCAGAGCAACGGATTGTTGTAAGTTTTTTTGTTTGGTTCTAGAATTCTGCAAGGATTGGCATTAACAGAAATGAAGGATTTTATGTTACTCACTTTTGAAATGTTTTGAAAAGGTAATTTTTATCAGAATAGTGAATTTGCGGCACATTTCCTTGACCTCATCCAACTTGAATTTCCGATTCTTTTTAATTTTTTGAACTCCGTTTCTATTTTATTCGGAGGCTTCATGTTCATACGAATAATTAGTCAAAGCTACATTACTTGCCTATTAAATGTGTGCCAGTCTTTATAAGTGGCAATCTACAATGCTCATAAGACTTCCAGGTCAGAAACCTACAAGAAGACCTTTTCGATGGTCAGATTCTTCAGATTCTTCTGGAGAAGCTTGCTGGTATCCGCGTAAGTTCTAAATTTTTAGTTTGATTAAATTTTATCTTTTTCTTGGCTTGCAGATGGAGGTCCCGGAAGTGACACAGTCTGAGGAAGGACAGAAGAAAAAGCTGGAGCAAGTTGTTCAAGCAGTCAATCGAGTCGTAAGCCCAACTGAGCAACCAAAATGGGATGCAGAGCTCATTCATTCCAAGGTCATCTCATCGATCAATTCTTTTGAAAAACTTTTGAGTAAAGGATGTAATTAGTTAATCACTATATAATTTTAGGACATCGTCGCTATCATGCAAATTCTCATCGCAATGGTTTTGCACTTCAGAGCACCAATTCGTCTACCGGAACATGTGTCAGTTAAGGTAAAGTCTACTTCTAATTGTAAGATTATGGTATTTTTCTCGATATGCACCAAACTGAGCCTATTTTTACAGATGCTCGTCGCCTCAAAACAACAAGGTCATTCCCGATCGGAGTTTGTAACGGAGCAGCTAACTACCACACAAGGAGAGCTTGGCTTAAAAGTCAGTTTCAGCACAGTATTCTTTGTGTTATAGCTTAGAAAATACCACTTACAGGGCGAGAGAGATGCATTTGATACACTTTTCGATTATGGACCGGATAAGTTGGCACATGTGAAGACGTCCCTGTTGGCATTCTGTAACAAACATCTCAACAAAATCAATCTTGAGGTTAGACACTACATGTTGTTGACGAAAATCTAGGGTCAAAGGCCTTGCGTATACTGTAAGCTACCGTAGCCTTGTAAGACAGTTGCGTCGGACAATGCGGGGGCGCAAAGGTCTTGCATTTTCTGCACTTTGGTTACGGTAGCATACGGTACCACAGATGTCTTCCTTCATTTCCCCATTCCTCTTGCTTTTGCTAAATATATCGATGCACTTGCAAGTCATTTCAAATAGCCTAATCGTAATAAATGTTACAGTTGCCCATTTTGCTAGAAATCTTTTACAGGTTACTGATTTGGAGACACAATTCCAAGATGGCGTTTTCCTCGTGCTTCTCATGGGTCTACTTGAGGGATACTTTGTACCTTTACATGCATTCCACCTGCAGGTTGGTACCAGAAGTTTGCTTGCTTACAATATTGCAAGATTGATGTAGCCAGGGAACTTGGTAAGAAGAATTTGGTGCAGATGCTCATAATGTCCAATATTTAGCGAACCAGATAGCTATTATTTCCCTCTTGAAGGCTTCCAACATTTTTAGAAGGCTATTCTCTAAGATCTGTGATGAAGCTGTTACTTACACTACTTGATTTTTTGCAGTTGGAGAAGCTTTTCTTGCCATTAGGGGACCATCACTTTTTTGTAAGAATTTGTTTCTGAAAGTTACTTCCTTAAATTTAGTTATTTAGAACATTTGGCATAGTTGAATCTCGAAAAGCCTACAGTACGAAATGTATCACTCATTTATCGCTACTCTTGTGGGATATAAGGGAAACTTGTAATTCGGGAAGTGCATTGCGTTTTTCGTTCATCTTTTTTAGAAAGAAGTACGGTAATACCATATTCATCTTACAATTAGATTTCTAAGTCATTAGGCTGATACGAGTGTGCGCTTGTGTTTTGCGATACGTTGAAATCCCCTCAACCCAAACCATCTTTTGAACGAAAGTAAGTTTGAATTGCTCTGGGGTGAAATTATTGCAAATGCAAATTTTTAGAAAGCTAGTTGAGCATGTTAAGCTCTGATGAGACTGTACCTTTTCGCACCGCTTCAGTCCAGTATCGTAGATTGCTTACGCCAAAATGAGAGCATTATGTGCCTGATACATATGATGTCAGTTAGACATACCTATCTATTGTATAGGTTGTCCGCGCTGCGCGCGAAGAGCAACGCTGTTGCGTCCAGTGAAGATAGTTGAGCGCAGAGAAAAACAGGCGGCGAGAGTGCACGGGGAAAGAGGAGTGACGCGCAATACACACCTTGCGCACTCTCCGCGCCCTGCGCGGACGGCCTATATTTGTATTTTTAAAGAATACAAGCAGAAACCGAAGCTAATTTTCAATAAATGTAGGTGACTTCATACGAGGAAAAAGTCAAGAATGTTGGATTTGCATTCAAGCTGATGCATGACGCTGGTCTACCAAAGCCTCGTAGCCGGATTCAAGACATCGCCAACGGTGATCTGAAGGTAGGAAGCGACAAGGATCGGATGGCATTCACATTTACGTTTATGGCAGTGGCTGTTCCAGAATTTTTTTTTCGAAGTAGGAGGAGGGGGGGGGGGAGGGGGTGAACCTATCTTGAACAAAAGGACGTGGCTTTAGATGTCGAAAATGTCTTTGGGGATACTTCTAAATTCTGAGCGAACTTATACTTCGACAGTTGAGGCCACCACAAAATTGTTCTTTTCGAAGCTAGTTTGGCTAAAATGTATTCGAATTTTTTTACGAGTAAAATAACTAGCTCGCTTTATTTTCAAATTCATGTAGGTCACTTGCTAAACTCTTGCGACCATTTTGGTCCGCACTGTTGGATTTGGGTGGCCCTAAGACGATTATATATTTTTTCAGAGTACACTTCGCCTGCTTCATCTTCTATTCTCGAAATACAAGCACGTCTGAGGTGTCGGGGGTGGACAGAGCGGAACTTCCGCACGACCTGCACTGCCTGCTGCTTCCTGCTCCTGCTGTCTGGACGTTCCCTGCTCGTCGCTGACCTCCTGCGACTCCGCTGCCGTAACCGCCAGCCTCGATTCGCTCGAACTTGCCGTTGCTTCCTCCTCCATCCACTCCGCCCACCCCGCCGCCGCCCGCAATTACTGCCAAATCTCACAAATTTGCCTGTATAATATTTTACATTCACTATTCTTGTATATTTGGTGCTTACTTCGTGTTTGGGTGAAAGAACAAGGGCTTGTTTGCGATGGCATATCTTTAGCATACTCTGAGATAATAGTTGAAAATTCGCAAACAATCTTTGCCTTTTATCATTTTCTTCTCAAATGATTATCTTTTAAGTAGTGAGAAATTTTTGAACGGTAATCAAATCAAGGTCTTATTTTCAGGTGCAGATAATAAAATTTTTCTCTTGTTGCAGATCAGTTGCACAGTACCCAGCAGCAGTCAACTTTCCTAGGGCTTGGAACCAACACTTATCCTCTAAGTTACTAGGGACGATAACATTATCTGTGATACATTAAGTAAGACACTAGGATTTTTACAAAAAAGTTCAATCTTGCGTATCAATATAGAATAGGGATTTTAGTGGCAATTAAATCAGTTTGACACATACGCCATACATCGCCAAATTTTGACCGAAGAATAATAGTTCTGCTAAAATTTTTTTGAATCAAGCAAAAAAATACCACGACTGGTACGTCTTTGCCAACTTGGACCCAATGAATTGACCTGGCGATACCGAGAATACTTGGAAAAAGAATCGCACTATCACACGCTTGGGCAACTAATTGTAAATATTCTGCATGTTTTTCTTGTATAGTGGAAGCAAAGGCCCTTTAGGGGTTGTTGCCCTTTATAGGGGCCACAGCGGATTCTACTCTTCAATGAGGTAAGAAATCAAAGTTTTACGATTTGACGACTATCTTTCATTCGCTTTCTTTTCTTATCCCAAACGGTAATAGTAAGTGGTGTTTATGCTTTGAAAAGTGCAGATTGTTTTTTCTTCCATCGGCCAGAGTCCCAATTTCATGCTTTTGTGACTATGATTACAATCTTTGAAAAAAAAAACTGAAGAAGAAACTCTTCCAAAAAACTGTTAAAAACTGTTTGTAAGACTAACAAGTAATAATTTATATATAATCAAGTTATATAGAGGGAGTTTTGCAAGATTCTACATAAACATTTGGAATACAATTGGAAGCAAGGACATTATGTGAAAAATATGCATTATGCACTTGAAGTGAATATTATTTTGGCATCCTCAATAGAGGTATTACAACACTTTCCATAATTGTTGAAACCTATTTATCCAATGTGCTTTTATCCACCCAGATTACTCTGATACCAATTTACCGGCCCCGGAGGGTAAAAAAGTCTGGTCCCCGCAAATCACTGTAATGGGCTCGCACGCATACAATTGCCTCTTCGACTATGAAGTTAGTGCGTGCGTTCGGCGCATGCCCCCAGAGGGTATTGAAGACGCCGAATCCTTTATCCTTTATCCTTTTTTATTCATCCAATAAAGGAAAGTTCCACCGGTTCTTTTCGTAGCTAGCCACATTCTTCACGAACAACTCGTAGCCGGAGCATTTATTCATATTTTACAGGAGAAAGACAGTTGTACATATATTTTTTCATGAATAAGACAAATACTGGCTACCCCTCATACTCCTCGTCACACTTTTCCAATAATGTGTGGGAGTCTTCAATTCTGTAGTCATCGCAGCATTTTGCAAACTCATCGAAGCTGCATGGAGAACGTCCATTACATTTTCGTACGCTTTGGGTTATTATCTTTGCTTCGGAATTTACATCCTTTTTATAGAGAACCTAAAGATTTTAGCAGTATTGATATGCGTTCTTCTGAGTTAATAAATCCACCTCAATATCGTAGTTCATTTCATTTTTCCATAATTCAAACATCAGCAAAGCGTTATATTCCGGTATTGTGTCTCCAAGGGCCTCAGTACCAGCACCAAGCGAGTGCAGGAGCGCTTGTATCAACCAATCTTGCTGAAAAGTCTGGCTAATTTTCAAGTCCATACCTATAAAAGTAGTTATCTTTAAGATAAGACGCCTAAAATATTAAAGATTATGGGAATTTTTCTCACTCACCGTTGATATCGCAATGAATTTCCGTTCTTCAACTACACCGTGTTCTTTGTGTTTCTCTTTTTGTTTCGTTAACTCCTTTATTATGAAATCCATAAGCAAGCCCTGTTTTATTTGCAGCATTTTCGGTTCACCAACGCCAATGTTATAAGCGTATACCTAAGTAAAGTTTTTTCATGAATGAAATTTGATGTACGATATGCAAACCTTTTGATAAAGATCGTAAAGCTCATCTTTTATTCTGGCAAATTCTGTGTCGCCTTCTTTGAGACCATTTTTATCCTGAATGCTATGATATGTACTAGGGATCACTTATCTCCAAAACAGTGGCTATCCGAGAAATATGAGAGGGGGGGGGGGAGCGGAGAACCACATATATTTTTCAAAAGAAGGAGCTGGATGGCTTTTCCAAAAGTATTCAAACTTTTTACAGCCCCACAAGCCTAAACTTTTGAGAAAAATTTGAGAATTCAGTGTATGGAGTTCTGGAATTTCAGCACTACACAAAAGTTGGCCCCGTTGGACACGCCATCGCGCAAGTGCGAGGCCATGAGGCTTGACCAGAAGCTGAAATTTGCGTCTCAGCCTTGGGGGGAGGGGGGGCGGCGCTGTCTCACACGTCCAAATTCAGGGTCTAAAGCTTCAGGAAACATCTGTTTTCGCCTATTACATAATTTCTAACGTGGATTTTCAAATTTTGCATTGTAGATGTCCCCAAATAAGCGAATTTGCTAGAAATCAAGTTTTTTCCCAAACACTTCTAAGCGTACCATGTTTAGACTCAATGCTTCATATGATTCGACAACTGTCGTCTATAGAAATCACAGATTAGTGACCTTCGCTTGTGAGATTCTCCGACTAGAAACTATTAGGTCATTCGGAAAGTTTTTTCGTTTTCGCACCTCTAAATTCAAACGAGCACAATTTTTTCCAGATTCAACCTTTTTCCATCAAATAAGTTGCACTGTGTTCAGTAAATTTCTGGTGACACTCTTGTAGTCCTCTTGTACTTTTTTCTTGCGAAATAATTTCAGGGGAATCAATAAAGCCTAAAAAGGCGTTTCTGACTAGCTAATCTTCATTAGGTCCTATTATTTTTTGATAGGCACCGAGGAATTAGAAAATTTGATGATTGATAAAGAAAGGTCTAAAGAGTTTGGAAAATAAACAGGAACCTCGGTGCGCAGTCAACCTCTTTTGTGAGAGCCACTTTTCTTACATGTGGTTTAAGGGAGTCATGGGCGTAGATGGCATCTCTCATCTATATATATATATAAAACTCAAACACTGTACCGTGTTTGTTAGGATGTTTGTGGCTTATAGACTCCTTTGTATGTGAACCAAAGAGGCTGAATTTTGCTTCCCTATAAACAAGCCACGGCGCAAAAGATAGGCTACTTTTTTCGACAATTCGCTGGGTCCTTCTATCGATTTATTGATTTTGTTTACTAAAATCTAGGAAAATGAAGGCTATACCATTCATTTCTCCAAGTGAGTAGTAAGGGGTGGTAGAGATCATTTACATTTTGCGGTGAGGAGCATGCGGTGTCATGAAGCGAGCCGGTCAAGAAAGAAGACTATTCACCGCGGATACTGCACGAGAGCTAAAACTGACATGGAGGTGAAGCAGGAGAGAACAGAAGATATGAACTGAAGAAAGTGGAGGACTGGTAAGTATACATCTTGAAGCACACCCTATGCTGGGCCATTCTGGACTCTCGGCCCGGGCGGGACCGGGAACCGCAGCTAGTAGCTTATATGTGCAAGTCTGCTCAGTTTTCAAATTTTGACAAACGGTCTTCAGGGCAATATCACACTACTCTGCTCTTACAGTACCACCGCATCTTAGCAATTTTATAGCGTACAAGACCAGCAGGATTACATTGATTTGAATACATCAACCTTTTGGAATGACTGATTGTTCTGGCCATGCTTTTAATGCTTATTCTAAATGATTTACCACAATGACGCTTCATGTAGCTGCACTTAGCCAATTTTTTGCTGTAATCAGTAACCCAGGCCAAAAAAGGATTGCTTCATCATATTATGAGCAACGAAAGCAGAGTCAACGCGCCCTCAATCTGCGAGCGCGACAATTTGTGGAGTGTATGTCACTGAAATTTTTTGGTATTGCAGCTTTAGCGAAGGTGGCTTCTAATGTTATATGACACTTCAAGGCCTGCTGATAATTTTACGCAGCTAAATTTGCGATTTGTTTTAGAGGACCGTCTGAGATGCTCGTTTATATGGCAGGAACTCCGTCCAGGACACTGCAAAATATTAGCTTCACTTTTCTAGATCTGAACTTTCTAAAGTAGACTTGAACCTACCTCAAGAAAGACGTGGTCTTGGCAAATGCATTGCGCACAATGATGCTTTCCTCAACGTTCTTACACTCAAGTTTGAGCTTAGAGGACACAATTATTCGACAATCGCATTTTCGTATGTCGAATTTAAAGCCGCGTAAACTTCCCTACAAAGCGTTTTGTGCAACTTCGGTGGGATCCTCAGAGACTAGAAGACTTCCTCTACAGATCCATATATAGCAACCCCTATCAGCCCTCTGGCACCCTCATATGGTACCAACATCAAAGGCGCAAAAAGCTAAAAAACTTTCCGAATGACCTAATAGTAGACGTAATTCATGATAATCTAAGAATCTATGATTAATTCTGAGACCAAAAGACTCGAAAACGCTTTGTACCAAACTTGTTGACAATATGCCAAAGCGTAATCGCATCTTTAAATTAAAGGCAGTGGCTCGGCAAATCCTCAACCTGAAGTTTTTTTCGCTTACCTGGGGTAATTCGACGCGCTGATTTCGAAAATACACTTTGGAGAGCATGAAAGTCGAAGTCGAGAACCAGCTTATTCCAAGGGTTCTCATTCTGAGTTTGGACGAGTGGACCACTCCCCGTCATGCTTAGGGACTTAGAGTAGTCGTTGCGAGACCCTTACGTTCATAGCGTTACGGCATGCGCCTCTGACGGTGGGAGGGGGATCGCAAGCTCGTGCGAGCGCGTGTAAGAATGGCTTGCGCGCATGGGTTGAGGGCAGTTTTTTAGGAAGGAGGAGCATGAAGTGCGCTCGGACCTGCTCTTTTATGATGTTGGGACGCAAGCAGTTCCACATCAAATCGAGATGTTTGATTTTGCCGTTAAGAGTCACTAATATCATCTCTGAAGATTAGAATCTACAAGATCATTCTCCTAAACTTAATTGTTTCCTCAATCTTGTAGATGAAGACGGTTGCGGCTCGGTGTGCTCAGCACCTTTCACCCTAGTGCTCGTCCGCTTAACAACACAATCCCAAACTCCAAAATGGTACGCTTCTGCGCTAGTGTGCGCAGTTCCTAGCGCGTCTGCTCGACGTCTACACCCCTGACCCGTACAAACAAACGATCACAGACTAGATTAAATCACATTTACTAGAACATAAACACAAAATACAAACACGTAAAACTACTAACTACCAATACTAGGAAAAGAAAATGGGCACGGGACGAGCCACCTCATCCCGTACTGTCGATGCTCCAAGAACATCAATTCCAACGTGAAATTTCGGGTTCTCCACAGGGTCAGCCGCAAGTCCCAAGTTCTCACGAGAAGGTGCGACCCCTCTCCACTCTCGCGATCATCGCTATCCATCCACACGAAGAACTACAAGGTTTGGCTGCACGTTTCCAAACACAAGAAGAACAACAAGGGCTCAACCGCACGAAACCGACATCCATCCGCGGGAACTACTGAAGGCGCTGCCAGGCCAAAGTATCGTAAAACAATAGATAACAAATGAAACTCGACGAGAAACACACCGCTGACTGCGCGGCCTTATATAGTCGTCCTCTCCTCACTACCTAGTGGACGATTCGAATTTGAACTAGAGCGCGCTGGTTGCGGCAGAGCGCGGCATCTGTAACCCTTGCTTCAATCTCAAACAGCCTTTTGTGTTTGCTCGGGATTTATATTTTTTGAATGTGAACCGGCTATTTAATGGTTAAAGCTTATGCTGCTTTGAGCATGTTATGTGCTGCTATGCTCGTTTTTTTTTTCAACTCTGATTTCAGGTTAGGCTTGGAGAAACGGCTAAATTCAAAAACTGTGCTAGTGAAATCTTTTTCGGTAAGCAACTTGATTTGAAGTGTTGTTTTGTTGAACCTCATGTCAGAAACTCCCCCAAGTGCATCGTTTTCCCAACCTTACCTAAAAATAGAGCTAAAGAAGGAGCTTAGTGGTATGAAACATCGTCAAGCAATGGCAGACTCTTCGATTCTGGCCGCAAACCTGCATGAAGTTTGAAGTGGATTCGACCGTGCCGTGCTCTGCTGCAACCGGCGTGCTCCAGTACAAATTCAAATTTGTCCACTAAGTGTCTAGTGGGGGGGGACGACTATATACCCCTTGACTTGGCAACGCGCTCAGTGAGGAGAGGTCCGGGCGCAAATACGTAGCGCCCCAAGTAACGCAATAATCAGCGCTTCCGACCTTCTGCTACGGACGAGTGGCTTGCATCGCGCGAGCCGCGACAAGGACGATTATAGAAAATTTTCAAAGGCAGCGTCCAGGCAGATCCGAGCTCGACGACCACGCTCACTTCCTCGGACGGCCAACCCCTTATGAACGAAATCTCCTCAGCCTTGACGTGTTTTCACATGACCAACACAGTCGAACTTACAGCGTTTACCTGTTAATACTTGCTTTCGACAAGGATAACATCAGAAGCACTCGTCCGGGTTTCCCCAAAATAGCCCCAAAAGGTGGTTTTCTGAGAAATTCACGCTTTTTGAGTTCCATATTCGGAATCAGCGCCATGGAAAGGCGTGGATGACATAAAAATATAGAAGTCGAGAATCTGCCTGGACGCTGCCTTTGAGTATACTGCTGTGACTGTGTTTATGAAGAGAAGCTTAATGGCAGTACGCATAGCAGTTCTGGATCGTGCCAACATAAAATGATACACACTAGCGGGCCTTTTAGGATGCGATATCAACATATTACTGAGTTGGTCTCGAAATGCTAATCTCAAAACTTTGTTCGATGTTTGCGGAGCGATTCGCTTAAAGGCAGCGTCCAGGCAGATCTGGACCTATGTGGCTTTTACGTGGAAAGTACTTTTGGGGCCCTAACTTAGGCACTGCCCAAGCGGCAGCTCATGTAGTGCTCTAATGGCTGAGATATTCCCCTCGAAACTGGCCCCCGCGACCGTGTTTCGCATGGATTCATGGCGCAAAGCGTGGATCCTGGCGGGAAACTGCCATGAATCCATGCGAATACGTTCGCGG